ATATATTATAATGTATACGCCGAAAAACCGCGTCCACCCGATTCGCGGGTAGATGGCGACACCAACGAGTATAATGAGACGTGGCGTCTGCGTGGTGGCGTCCGACGGTCGTGACGTAGGCGGCGTGGTACAGGCGGGTGTCGAGAGTCGGGGATGGCGTGGGGAGGGCGCACGGTGGCCCGACGTCCGTGACGTAGGCGGCGCGGTACACGGACGGCCGTGACGTAGGGGGCGCACGGTGGCGCGGTGTTTCGGCGTCCGCGACGTAGTGTCCCGGCGTCTATGACGTAGGTGGAGCAGTACCAGCAGTAGGTGGGGGGAGGGGGTGACGCGGTGGCCAGGCATCTATGACGTGGTGGAGCAGTACCAGCAGGAGGTGGGGGAGGGGGTGGAGCAAGCAGGTCGGCGGGTGCTGGCGCGGGGGTGGAGCAGTACCAGCAGTAGGTGGGGGAGGGGGTGACGCGGTGGCCAGACGTATATGACGTAGGTGGAGCAGTACCGACGATAGGTTGGGGGAGGGGTGGCCAGACGTCTATGACGTAGGTAGGACGAGGGGTTTGGTTAGGTTAGGGGGAGGGGTGGAGCAGGGTGGAGCAAGCAGGTCGGCGGGTGGTGGTGCGGGGGTGGAGCAGGGTGGAGCAGGGTGGAGCGACCCAGAACCGGCTATTTCATACTACTGGTATAGTATTGCAAATTACGATAGCTTTTCAATATATTAATATAGTTTTTTGATCCCCAATTTTGTGAAATTAAATTATAAAGGTCACCGATAGCCAAGATGAACTGGACGAAGGCGGGTTTCCACTATGTGGCATGTACACGAAAAATGTTCAGCTATGTCCACCAACACGGTAACGTGGTTAATAGTGTGGTAACCTAGCCTAACCAACCAATCACAGCAAAGAATTTAAATGAACGCCTATACAGTATAGTGCAGGAAACCCGCCTTGAGTAATACACACTTTTTAAGATATCTTAAGCCGTGGTTATGCACTATTAACGAAAAAATGTATTGTTAGAAAACATATCTTTTCAGAAAGTCGTAGTGCCTACAAGTTTTTGAGTCAATAATAATTGTTCAGAGGAATATTAACTTTCAAAATGTCTAACAACAAATGATACTTTCATTCTATACTAAAAAGTTGGGAAAACTGAGCTTGGCCACGATGGTTCTCAAACTGCATTATAGTAAGTAATGCTATGTACATATAATTATTACTAACTACGTATTATAGTGCTAAAATGCATGAAATATAAAAATATACGCTATATATACCTACAATTATCAAACAAATGTACGCAGTTAAGATATTATTGTTATTCTACGTGAGATATAATAATAAGTAATAACCGAACATTTGTTGCTGGTTTATCTTTAAATAGTAACATAACTCAATGTAATATATTTTACCTGGATAGAATGAAATATGCTATGTTTATTATAATTTAATTATTAAATACCAGGTACTATAATATTATTATTAATATAAAATAGTACGTGCCTTAGGTCGTTTACAACATTTTACGTGCTTACAGTTCAACTGTTGATATCCTAATAGTTACGTTTACTTAATAGGTAGGTACCTATTTGTACTTCATTATCTATAAACAACAATATTTTTTAATTCTGTTTTGTCTATTTTTATCTTAAGTACTGATTTTGAATAATTGCAAGACTGGTTTTTTATAATTTTTATATTATAGACAATTTTAACAGAACTAAATAAAATAAAATAAAATAGTAAAAAGTAAGGAATAATTCCAGAATTTTCAGTACATTGCTTACAAAATTAAATGCATATAAGTTTACTGTTAACCGTTTTTTGAGTTTTGTAATCATAAAAATTATTCAAGAACAAGTTTTCGTGATTTTGACAATGTGACAGCAAGGTTCCGTATCAAGGATCAATAGAAAGTAAATATTTTGTATTTAGCTCTGTGTATATGATGTTTCACGAAGGCCAAATTTGTATTTACTGATAAGTGGTAATATTATATTATGTGCAGCTGAAAATTGATAGCTTTGCAAACATTAAATTAATTAAATTATGTATTTATAATATTTTCCAAAACGGTAACGATAACCATAACTATGTATAGGTAAACGTGTAATTATGTGAACGACCGGCAATTTGATTATTTTTGATAGACATTAAATCTATTTTCTTGGTTTAACCGAGCTTAGCAAATATGTTATTGGATAATATAAATCAGTTTTTTTAAAAATTTTTATCTCAAATATCCACTACATTTTCGTTCACCAAGTTGTATATTTTGCAGCGTATACCTACGATGACGTTTAATATTGTTTAAGGATCATGAAATTCGCATTTCTGTTCATTTTATATCTGAAAAACTAATTTTAAAAGTACTAACCATTTTATCTTTTTACGTGTGAACGTAACTACCGATTATTTCTAGTACACCTAACATATTATGCATTTGATCGATGTTTGTTTAATCACATCGCTATATGTAATAAATATGTGATATTGTATGGTTATAGTAGTTGTGTAATATGCAGAATGTTGTTGGTTCATTATACGATAATATAATTCGCTAGACAGGTATATTGAATAATATTTTGAAAATGTCAGAACTTCTCAGCATGGATAATATTACTATTAACAGATAGATTACAAATGGTTTAAAGTATTTTTACTATTTTTTAGTATTCCGAACTTAATTTACTCTGCTTTAAAGGCTATCAAAAATTATTATCAAACATTTACTGTAAACTACTTCTGTTTAGTAATTAGGATTTTAGTTACAACAGTTACCGTTTAATCTTTCAAAATGTTTTAACTTCTATTTGAAAATATATTTCTTTATATTAACTAAATTCAAAAAGTGTACACCCACGTGTATAATTATTAAACTTTTCGGAATTATATATTTAGAAAGTAGATTTTTGGTTGTATCAAATTTGTATTATATTTGGGTACATAGGTATTTAAAAATATTCATATTGATTTTGCGTAAATTTAAAAATATGTTTGATGTTTATATTATGTATCCATAGGTAGTCAAATTCAGCGTGTTCAAACTTAAAAATCTAAAATTCAATAGAAAGTTATAATTATACAGCATGTGGTGAATTCATTTTGTAGATTAACTTTTCATCAAATTTATTGTTAATTAAAAGTCGATATAAAAGAGTATTTACTATTTAATAAGTTGGATATTTATTGTATTTTTATGTAAATAGACTTAATAATGAAGTAATAGTACCTGTTGTTGTATGTACAATTAAATAGATGAAAACATAATTTTCGACTGTTTTATGAAAAACTTAAATTTAAACTGGTATTGGTTAGGTTTTGCAAAGTTTCGTTCAAAATACACACAATGTTATATGATTGAATGTCTACAATATTTTTTGGTTATTCTTATACACATTTTTAAAAATTGGTTTATTTGATTCTGAGTTAGGTTTGTGTTGGTTATCCTGTAAAGAATAGCCTTATATTTATCAACAATTGCATCCATAGTTTGTATTTTGGAAATAACTAACACATATAATAATGTCCCTTGCACCACGTTCGACTTGTAATATTGTCACACAGACGGCAAACCTATCTTAAATTAAACTTGGATAATAATATGATTTTAGAATTGAAACACACACGAAACTACTGTTTAAGACAATAAAACAACGTAGGTAGGTTGCCTGTGCTCGATGACTTATGGGTATACATTTAAAAATTATTTTTACAATCAAATTTATTATATTATATAGTGACAATTTTGTTTACAAATAAGAAAAACAGATACTCTTCGAAAATTATAAGCTCCTGACTCGTCGAGCATCAATACCACCAAAATGACATCATAGCACCTATTGCTTATAAAAATATCTCAGTCTCGATTCGATCTCAATTCGTTTTTGCAAATAACTACTGGTAAAATAAAGTGTACTTAAATTATACGTTTTTTAGTTATCTATTATAAAAGAGTGCGAATTTCCAGTGTTCGGGAGTTGCTACAATAATGCGTGGCATTCGTGTGGTACTGCAGCTACGTAAGTACCTATATTAATTTTTGAGTGAGAACACTGCTTCCACTAACTCGAGAAAAAAAAGTATTTTACGACAAATATAAAAACCAGAAACTAAATTGCTTAAATTATTTTAGGTCATATACCGTTCATTTGTTATGGCAGCAAATGTTTTGAGAAAAAACAATCTACGAGATGTGCTGGAAAACTAAGTTTCCTTTGATTTATCTGATAGATGCGTTTTATTTCGAAAACCACTTCCTAATAATAATATTATATTATATTATCGATCGGTACATAGACGTGTTTTCTACTTCGTTACCCCGTCCGAGAGGCAAATATTATAACCAACTTTGGTGTGGCATCCTCTAGAGATTCGTATAATTTATATTTAAATAAAATCATTGAAATTCAATAGCCTTGCTGTATTATTATGAGCTATAGTACAAATTGTGATCTAATATAAAATTCAAAAATATTAATTGATAAAATTCAACGAATACAATAGGTTATATACATAAGAATTATAGCCTATCAAAAACTTACACTCGAAATATATACACGTAAATCGGTGATAAGTATGTATATGCGGAATGTATGAAGTTGTTTTTTTAAGAAATAAAAGCAAATAAATTACGATGTGACCCTAAACACGTTATATAGATTGTATAAGGTGTGTATACTTATAAATTATTATTAGAACAACAGATAAATCCTTCGCTACTCATTTTTAATTATTTAATATTGTAATAATTAATGTACCTATATTGAAACCATAAAATTCATACTGTTTATAGTTTAAATCTTAAAATAAATGATTAAGATAAAATATATGCAAACTCATATTTTATCAAAGTTAAAAATGAACACGATAAGTTATTTTTTAGTACATATATATTATGTATATTATCAAAATAAATCATTTAAATCATTAACGTCTAGAAGCTGAAATTATTTTTTAAAACTTTCAATAGCTGAAATGATTTTGATCGAAATAATAATGGCATTTATTTCTTTATAATTATTGTCACCGATTTTCGAGATTTAAGACTAAGCAAAACTTTTACAGTATAATTCGTATTTAATTTCTGGGTGAAGAGTTGAATGAATTGATATTTGAAAGTGGTTTCTGGTAGCAAATTGTATTTTATTGGTACATTAGTACCCAGTACCCACCAAAAGAATAATTTTGGCCAGTATTTTTCAAAATAATCGGGGAAAAAAATTATCATAGATTCTTGAAACTTATGCGAAATGTTTATTTATTTATTATAATAATTTTTATACATGATAACATCATAAAAATATTTTAACACTTACTGAATTATTTTACATTTGATATTGTGTTTTATATTTTATATTTTTCATTTCTTTTTTCTATATGTGTCCACAAAAAAATTTTTAGACAGTCAAAAACCTTGAAAGTTTAATACCTAGTCCTCGTAAGTTTTATTATAACTATTTTAAAATAATGAACGAAAAAACTGGTATTTAAATGAAAGAATAACGATTTTAGTTATTTTGATGCAATCAAAAATATTATTCATGGAAACTTGAAACTTTCAACATATATCATCATATTTTATACACACAATGTCATTTGAAACTGCAATGTCTTCGGCAAAAAATAATTCAAACTACCATCGTGTTACTGATGGTAAAACTAATTACTTTAATAGATATATAAATATATTATTTATTTATTTTATTTTATTAAATAAGGGTGTATATTATAAAATATACTCAGTAATATAAGCTAGCTGACAGACCGTCATCGCTTAGAATCCAAATTTAACACATACTTATGAATTACGTTGAATTAATTCTCAATGACGAAGTACACTCGACACCAGAGCGGTTACCTACTCCCCCTTCTTTTTAATGATGTTTTGAATGATTATATCATTATTGTTACCTTTGCAAGATTAGGTCAATGCCCGGAGTAACAAATGCGCTGAACTCCCGAACCTTACAGTATTTAACCAAATGTTTAAAATATAAAACGTAGAACATTTATTTAAAACATAGAATTATAGTTTAAAGACCCATCCCTACCGATTATATTGTATTATGTTATTATAAAGAGGTATATTATCCGATATGATTCCATCATAGTAAATTATCTTGTTCAAGATAATTATTGCTTTCCGTAAATATTATTTTTATTGTTATTTCTCATCACGACCATTTATGCATTCAACTTTGTATTCAAATACGAGATCATTATTTTAAACGATTATAAACCTCATGTAAATATATGATAATACCTATAATGTATTAGCTAATAAAAAAAATTGACGAAGTATTAATAAAACAATGATCATAATATAATGAACTCTGTGTTAAAAGGAAAATGCAGTAACTTTATAATTTATTATTGTCTTAATATAAGTAAAAATAAAATGCTCAAACTTTTTTATTGTTACTCATGACGCTATATTGTTTTAATAATATATACTTACACTAAACTTGGATTTGGGACTTTCACTGCTGTGTACATTCATAGTATAATAATAATACAGTAATTATTATAAATGAGTAAACTATTATTATTTTCTTTTTATTTATTTAAAAAAAAACCTCAACTACCAGGGTTTTTGGCTTTTCTGAAGGAACACGTTTCATTTTATAATTTCTAAATATTAAAAGTATAAGACAAAGTAACTTAAAATGATACATTATAACTTATAAGGCTGAAGTTATTGAAAATACATATGATATTGTCTATGTGTTTTCTCTCTGTTGGGTGATAGATTTTGCATAGATCATAGATAATTATTATTATTATACCTACCATTCTTTTTTAGTTTCGCAAAATCTGTTTATAGGTAAGTTATAACTTATGACCATTGAGCAACATAAAATAAATAATAATAGATCATTTGGACTCAATAATAACCTAGGTACCTACCTACATATTATTATTACGTCGTTGTCGTGTGGGTAACGAAACTTCGTTTACGCCAAGTGCAGTTAATTTTAATTCAAATTTAAATATGGGGTATATAGTAACAAGAAAAAACATAATATGTTATAAGTTAATGTTCTCCAAATTAGAATATAATTTAATGTAGTTGTGTTAGGACGAGAGACTACAGTTTAGAAACCATTGGTGTAAGCAAAAAAATGAAAACACATACTTAAGTAGGTACAGTTAGGTACTTAATGATTACTGCTCTTGTATACATTGTCAAAGTAACGATAAATAATTTATATAATAACATGATGAAACACAATAATTATAATTAAATACACTATAGGTAAGGGGAATTTTAAATATATGTTTATTGTGAATAAACCTGAAAGGAAATTATAAGTAAAAAAATAACTAATTATGTAATCGGCTATCATTTTGAAATAATAAAATGTTATGCTTGAATAAACACGGTGAAATTAGTTCAAAATATATCTGCTAAAAAATTGAAATATCTACTACACAAAGTTTTTTAAACTTAATATAAATTATGTTTTGGAATTTTTTTATCATTAGTATCTATTTAAAGAATGTTTTACTGTTTTTAAATTGCATTGTTTTGTTTTCATATTATCCCATGTCGGGGACATTTAGAAATTTTAGTATTGCACATAATTAATAGTTTTTTTATTTTGTACAAAGTTTAGAATAGTATGTGCGGGGAACTCCGCCAATTTATGGTCTAGAAGTGTAATTCTAAGCCTCTAAGGTCGTATCTAGACTTAAGGCTTACAAATAAATCCCACATACGTTTGTTTTTATACTTGTTTTTCACTTAATTATTGTAGACAAACGATCGAAAAAATATTACTGTTAGATAACACAAAAAATCCCACTCGCATACCTATAGAAATCCATAATTTCACCTACCTTCCATGCAAACATTGTCGTATATTGTTTAGTCTTAAGACAATTGTCGTAGACAATAAAATACTGACGGCAACAAGATGTACGTATAATAATAATAACAATAATAATATGTAATATTATCAATCTCATTCTATCCAGGTATGAATAATATTGTGTAATACACTTATACACACGACCTCGATGATACGAAATCAGTTGGGCTGGTTGTGCTGAAAATGAAACTAGTATTACCTCTCTCACTCTCGCTCTCAATGCAGTGTACCTCCGATAGATATGGAGGGAGAAACGGCGACCGAATGGAAGAGCACAGCAATAATATTGTGACCTACCTACTCTCATGCGCGCGATCGGTTCTCGAGTTATTCCGCACTCACGCGGGTGAACGTATATACTATATATTTCTATTTACACGTGCGTGAGGAGTCGTTGTCGTCCGCTCCGATTTTTCGCGAAAACCTTATCTAAGGTGTTTCTCGATCGTCAGACAGCCATTTAACACTAATCTGAATAGAACCATATACCATGTTGGAACCCAACGTGTACAATATTGTGTTGATCCCGTTGGCGATTTTGATATCGTACGCGATATGGTTGAGACTCCGGAAGCCACTGGAATACCGGCGAATTTCATCGCACGTGCCGTCGGTCACGAAAAGCCTTTGGAGCGAATTGCTGTTTTCGTGCACCATAGCAATGAAGCACCCTAGAGGTACGGCTCTATTAAACCTCGAAAACCATATTATTATTTTTTTTTTTTTTTCAAAAATACGGGCAGAAGCTCAAATCTATAATAATACTATTCATTAAAGTTACTTTTTAATACATTCTTACAATAATTAAAATAAAATATTGATAATACATTGATAAGAAAAGTTTTTTGTGCTTTATTAACTATAATGTTGTTATAGCACGGAGGTACAATCATAATAATAATATTATACTATGAAGTTGTAAAATAGAACAATCCATATATTCCTGTACACCAAAAGTGCCGTGGACTGCCAGCATGAAGGTTACCCATGAAACCTGCCGCAGGTTTTATAATTTTGTAATCTATTAAGCCGCTTAATTTCTCGGGATAACTCATGTTTCTTTTGACTAAACTTAAAATTATTTTGAGCCAATAAATTTTAAAGAATCTTTTTTGGATTTGTATTGGAATTCGAGTTTTTTGTAAAAATAAATCATTAATGAACTCTGAGACCGTCATTTGTATTGAAGGCTGACAGTTATACTTTTTACATGGATCATGGATCACTACTCAGCTAATAAAAATGAATCAGCAAACCAACTATTATGTTTAGTTATGTACATAAATAGGTACATGTGGGAGTAATGACTTATGCATAACGCATCCCCGGTAATTTGAGTGTGTAATCAACGGCAAGTCTATATTAAATAATATTATACTATTAAGTATAATATCTATATTCATGTGATCTTAAAATTTAAATTAAATAATAACAATATGTGTATCTGCTTACAATATTATTTTTTTTGAAAAATAATAAAATATGACGATGTTTGTACCAATACAAACTTGAGGGAATAATACAAATATGTCAAAATTATTTTCAATTCCATTATTTTAAAATTTGAGTCATTATTACCAACTGGCTACATGACTACTTTATTTAATTGATAGAAATGTAAATTAAACAAAACTTTAATAGTATAAATAATTTGTTTTAAATATATATTAGCATTTACGATAGTTTGTATTTTTAACTATGAATTCCACAGATCATAAGTTTTTACACTAAATTATTGGCTGCATTTAAAAATCTATGTGTACCTCTTTAATGATTTTTAAAATTCCGGAACAGATGAGTAATTTGATAAAAAATATAATTTTGGAATTCAATTAATTGCTTACTCATAAGTCATAACATACCATACACTACCTATAATATGCCTTAGTTATATTTCTGTTACAATGATGATTGCAATATGATCAGACATTGTTTAGACGTACTTTAGTTAACTCCTCAAATATAATATTACAACCTAAATCGACAATTATAACCTAACAATCGACGAATTGTACTAACTCGTGCAATTAATTTTAGCTTGGACATCATTAACGCGGATTTAAAGCTGAGCCGTCGATTTCACGACATAATAATCTAAAATAACAGTAATTCAGTAATTTAATCATAATTTTTTTTTTTATAAATAACCATTTTTGAACTTTTTGAGTTAACTCGAATGTTTTGGTTAGTGTTTAATAGATTTTTCTATTGGAAATTAATTCTTCAGTGGCGCACAACGTTTTTACTGCCTACCTAAACTTCTAAGTTTGTGGCAATACATTTAAACTGGATTTGTCTAATTTGTTGCTTCCCTTTTTTGGATTCCGAACGAATTTTAAACGTACAATGCTTTTATTTTTATGGATACACTTTTTAGAAGTCTAGTCGATGATTGGGAGAGGTATAGTTTTTCGATTCTTTGAATAGTTGCCCTAATCGTAAGTTAAACTATAAAAAAGTATTCATAAAATAAAAAAGTTTTAGCAGACGTAGTTTTCACCGACCTGGTTCAAATCAATGCCTCGATATTTCATTGTTTTCAAATTCGTTGTTACAACATAAACGTTTTTTGGTGAAAAATTGCATTTTCTTTTTTGAAATAAAAGGTTTAACTTCCATAATATTAAAACAAATATCTATTGGTTTTGTAAGATTAATTAATTTCTCTTTATCCTTTCTTGGTTGAACTCAAACAGACCTAATACAATTAAACTATGTATATTATATATTATGAGTATATAAAATGTAAATAGTGGTCGAAGTATTGGGGGGATACGGTGGGATGGCATCTCTCTATTTTCTATAATTCACATTTTCCCCCCTTCCTCTTATTTTTTACGAGTTTTTACGCGATATATGAGAACTATATAAATCATAAAAGGCATCCACTTATTTGAGCCACTTCGACCACTGATGGCACAATCAATACATTTTTATAACAAAAGTGTACACTGTACACATGTAGTATTTATAATATTATAGTTGACCTACACAAAATTGAAAATACTTTTTCTATTCAGTTTTTGGTACCTATTAAATAGTTGTTTGTATGTTGTGTTTAAATAACTCGTCTTTGTTTTGATTAACAATTTTAGACTTATTGCCATTCTTCATGGAAATATTTCAAAACAACGGTCCAGTTGTTCATGTCAATATTACTGGACGGTCATATGTATTGTTAAATGATCCAGATGACATAAAAGTGAGTACATTTTAATAAATATCTGTTCCAAATAAACTGTACTACAGTTATTTAAAGTCCTTCAATGTTTATATCGTGTGCCCATTCCTCTACATCGATTATGTAGGTACGCATTATTTAAACGATAATTTACATTTAAAACACGTATTGTGTGAATAAAATAATACCTAAATGGTCAATAATGTTTTGGATACTAACATTATTTTAATTTCATAAACGCCTCCATTATAACCACTCATAATCTACTTATCGCAAATATATGTACAATTAGACTTCATAGAAATAAAACATGAGGAGCCAATGGCCTCGACATTTCTTAAGACTTTAACATAGTACTATCTACAATTTATTTATGTTTCATTATTTTTTTAACGCTCCAAAAATATAAGCTTAAATATCGTCCATCTCTAAACTATGAAGCTCATTACATGTAACTCGTTCTATCGGTCGTTCAATATGTTTCACTTTCGGTGTGGCGTCCTCATAATAAACTCATTATTGAAGTGCCGCCAGCGGACAGCTCTTTCATCAGGCCCATATATTAGTCTTATAACTTTTTTATGAATCATTTAACTAATGATTCAGTATTCAGATGTTATCTATTCTGCTAATTGTACAAATTATATAATGTAGACTATACAGTTTGTAGAATACTGAATAGGTTAGGCCTAGGGTAAAAGGTTCTAAAAATATATAGATATATTATCACAAATACTAATTACACGGAATATGTATTATATATTGTTAGAAACTATATTTTTCGACCACTAATTATTATTTTGAGTACAAATATTTTGAACAATTGAACGAATTGATATTTTAATTCTAAAACTGTATTTCATTCGTAATGCAGATATCACAGTAGAATAAAAATGGCGGTATTGATGTGCACGAATAAAATAAATCATACACGGCCATACGGGTCATTAATTAATTTCAAGGTCTGGGGTAAGATAAACACTAAAATATATATTTAAAAAAATGTATATTTTTTAACGTCATCATTATAAGTGTAAATATACTAATGATTTATAACCTAGATTGAATGTTAGTTGATTTACTTCTACTTGAATTACAATTAAATAAAAAAATAACGATTAACAAATATCTAAAAAAACGTGTGTAATTATGGTCGAATGAGTAATAATATGATGAAAAAAAATTTGTGGGAGTTCATTTATTTAAAAATAAACCCCCGCTGGATGATATGGTATAGTGTCCGTTAGGATTATAGACACAAAAACCGACCACATTCTGAGTCTTCCAACTTTGATCACAAAAGTAAAAAGAATTCTAAATGAATTCAATTGAAATCTAGTTTCGAGATTTTGTAGAAATCGTTTGCGTTTTATTTTTCTGTACAACATGACACTGTTTAGGCAGTTTTTTTAATTATCTGAATCCTTTCCTTAGAAAAATATGTAAATAAAACCATGTTTGTATTGAATAGATCCTGTTATCCAGTACACAGTACATAAACAAAGGCCCCGAGTATGAGATGTTGAAACCGTGGCTGAACGACGGCCTTTTATTGAGCTCAGGTATTATTAGTTATTTACGTAAATTATACATCATATTTGATTTTAAAAAAACACATACATATAAGACGGCTGATAGCTGGCATAATAGCATGTCAAATATTATTTTTTAGGTTTGAAATGGCAAAACCGTCGGAAGCTATTAACCAACACTTTTCACTTTAAGACATTAGACATGTACAATCCTGCCGTCAATAAGCATGCAAAGGTATTTACAAAAAAGCTCTTGGAAGCGTGTGCAGTCGATAAAGAAATCTCCATCATGGAATACGTGACGCTATGTTCTTTAGACATCATTTGTGGTAATTATTGTTATTGTATTTTATTAAAAGTTCGAAGATTGTGACTGTCCGAAATATTTCGCGTTTGAAAAACCTAACAAATTATGTATAAATATATAATAGTAGAATACGAAAGATTTCAATTCATATTGTGAATTTGAGCTCAAAAAGATATATTTTTTATTTTTATGTACCTATAGGTAAGGAATAAATATATACCTAGCTGGTTCCTGGAGGTTTCTCAAAATAGTAGTTCATACCACGTAACCAAAAAATTATTAATGATATTAGGATAATCGGCAGGCATTTACTTATAGCAATATTAGTATACTATCATTTATTATATTATAATATCCTAGATTGAAACACCGCCTCCGCTCAGAATCGTTTTTCGTATTCAATGATATATCCTTGAATTCAAATTTAACACAGTAACCAATTCAACGCCTTGTACAACAGAAAGGCACTCACTAGCACACCTTTCTGTATTTATATTAATTTTCTACTAATGTAACTATGATAAAAGTGATAAAATATAATAATATCAAACATGTGACTGGCGCCTATTCAGATACTCAAATAATATTTATAGTTTATAATAAATGATAGATATTGTTAATTCTTTAGTCCAAAACATAAAATAATGAGTAAAAGCTCAAACATAAACTGCCAAAAAACATTAAAACACATCTCTACCTTTATTAAACCAATCAATCAATCGATAGTTCTCTCTGTTTAATACAAATATTTAAAATTGAACTCTTTTAGTTTAAATTTCGGTGAATTTAATACATATAACTACAAAATCTTAATAAACTAATTTTCTGTCTTAGAAACAATCATGGGCACTGAAATGAATGCCCAAAAAGGAAAATCAGTTCAATACGTTCATTCCATTAAAAGGTAAAAGCTTAATTTTAATTTATATTTAAATTTGTAGCAATACTATACTGCAACATGCTAATTTATGATTATTGTTTTTAAAGTGCTTGCAGATCAGTGATTGATCGAGTTTTCAAATTTTGGCTTTGGAATGATCTGATCTATAGAATAAGCGAAAGTGGTCGATCGTTTTTTAAATCAATTAGAGTGTTACACGATTTTACCGATAATGTTTGTATACTAAACAATCTATAGTTTTATATGTGTTGTCTATTGAAGTCGTTCTAATTTACTACAATAATATTTGCCCATAACTATTATTATAGGTCATCAAACGTAAACAATCATTGTTAAAAAAATCTGAAAATCAAATTGTGCAGCCTGAAAACAAACCATCTGGTACGTACTTACAAATTATAATTATCAATTCTCCTATCCAACATTATATTTCCTGTTTAATAACAGTAGATATTTTTTCGTACCAATAATCGTTTAGAAAAAAGGATAACGAAATCGTTTTTGGATTTACTTCTCGAAGTTTTGAATGACAATCCGGATCAGATGACGATCAAAGACATTCGGGAAGAAGTAGACACGTTTCTCTTCGAGGGTCACGACACCTCTTCCATATCGATGACGATGACTCTTTTATTGCTAGGGATGCACCAAGATATTCAAGTAAGATGTGTTTTTTTTTGTTTTTTAGTGAATCGTTTTTAAGTGTGAGTTACATTTAAAATATAAAAACAGTAACTTTAAGGATCGCGCTAGAGAAGAGCTACATGGTATATTTGGGGACTCCGACCGAGACGCTACAATGGAAGACTTAAACGCTATGCGATACTTAGACGCAGTCATTAAAGAATCACTCCGGCTTTATCCAAGTGTACCGAGTTTTACCAGAGAATTGGAAACAACTTTACAGCTCAGTAAGTATTTACCTTACTTGAAATTATCGTCGTATAACGAATATTGTGGGGAGAATTTGGCCTTATAATCATATGTAATAAGAATAATAATTTAGTAAAGGGAAATGGAAATATTTCGAATATATGTATACAGTTAATTCCCTATGTTTCGTGTTGTATATAATAATTATTATGTATAAATATATAAAAATGTATTGGTATTATTTTTTCCCTAGAGAACTATAGTATTCCACCGATGACAACAATGGCGATATTTCCATATATTTTACACCGGAATGAGACCATTTTTACAAAACCTGAAGACTTTATTCCTGAAAGATTTTTAGACGAAGACAATAAATCAAAATTTCTATTTGGTTATATACCGTTCAGCGCAGGCGCAAGAAATTGCATCGGTAACTTAAATGTTCTTATTTCATACAGTATTCCAGAAATAAAATAATTAAGTATTTTCGTATATCTTCGTATTATGTCTACGCCCTACGGTATACCATGTGTATAACAAATTTGTTATTGAAAAATGTTTCTTTCTAATACTGACCTAAAAGTATTTAAAAAAAATAAAACAAACCATGTTAATCGGTTCGATTAAATATTGTTCTAGGACAAAAATATGCTATGAACCAAATGAAAACCGTCGTATCGACCGTCTTACGAAATTCAAAGATCATATCTTCGGGATGCAAAGAAGACATTAAAATTAGTATGCAATTACTTATCAGAATAGAGTCACTTCCAAAAGTGACATTTTGTAAACTTTAGTTTTTAAGTACATGATGTTAAAGTTTTTTGGTTATCATACATGTTTATATTATTTAATACATTTGTGATTTTTAGTATAACAGAAATGCTATTTACTATCTATAATTCCTTTTTTTTTAAACAGGAAATTATTAAAATTATTTGTTATGGTAATTATAAATAAAATAAAATATAATCAACCATGTTTCACATATTTGTTTACAGTTTGTGGATATAAAATAAACTAAGCTAAAATGTTAACAGTAAGAATGATGGTAACAACTAACAAACGATATTATATGTAATATGTATTCTGTTTATTTCATTTATCTGTACTGATTGTGGTTTTTCCCGCGGGAGTAATCATCTTTTATGATGAATTAAAGAAAAGATATAATTTTGTATGTTCAAAATTGCAAAACCGTCGGCAGCTCATCCGCCAACATTTGATCGCTTCAAGTCATTAGACAATATATTTTATATTCCTCCGATAAACAAACATTCGCTGATATTAGTGAATTAACTGTTGGACGCATCTTCAAAAGATAAACCAATCTTTTAGTCGGAATAAGTGACTTTGTGTTTTTAAATATTATATTTTGTGGTCAGTCGTTATTTCATTAATTATTATAGTTCAAAGTACGCAAAGTGTAACAACACTGAAATTGTAGTTCGGTTTATTCGAGTGTTCGAGACTGTTTCAACTGAATACGATCAACTCCCTTGGAATAAAACCATTGTAACTATATTAATTGTAAATTTTTCTAAAAATATTTAACTCTAATATCGTATAATGTTTTAGGGACAAAGTATACTACTGACCAAAAAAAACAGCTGCAGCTACAGTGTGAATTACTGTTTTGTGGAATGCGTAAAAAAATATTTCTGGTCCGTACTAATCAATATAATAAAGACATTATAATTTTGAACTGGTAGAGGTGACGTTTAATTATTCGCATAACTCAATGAGGTGTAGAGCGAATATAAAGGTTATCTGTATACAATTTTGGGTGAAAAAACTGTATGAACAAGTGACTATACTAACCGATCATTGCAATTTAAAGAGTATAGTATATTTTATAATTTATAATCTTCAAATATTGTATTAAACATATTCCATCCGTTGTTTTTCAACCTGACATACTAACTAAAAAATATGTGTGGGTCAGTAAAGTAAAGTAATAGTTAAAACATATTTTATAACTAATGAAAATAAAGCTCAACAAATTAATAAGTTACAGATAACCACGGACGACGATCAATTACACTTACTAGTTTTTCATTTGTATTTATTTAAACATCAATATTCCATTATTTTGTATATTGACACAAATATAATGGATGTTTGTTTATTGAAATTCGTCAACTTTAAATGAATTCAATTTGATTTTTAAGAGAATCATATTTATTGTAGCTATCGCTTGTTTGTCATCCGTTCAGCTTGATGGTTGTCGTTCCTCTTAAATCGTATATTATGGAAACTAATTCAAACCAAATATTTTCACTCGTGGACCATCGGGTATAAACATAATGAATAGACCTCACCTCAACTAAACCTGATCTAATACCCTACTGCGCAATCGAAATTGCCGAGGTGTGATTTAGTTAGCTCGTATTTTTTGGTATTGGTGATCCACACCATTACAGTTTTCATAATTTTATAATTATAATATTACGTATAGTAATATATACTATACATACATCACAGATTCGTGTGTCATCTTTCATTCGTTCTGTGATATCACGGAGTCCCACCATATAATATAGACATAAATATTTTCAATTTTGATGAGTAAACAAAATCTATTGACTATTATAGTAATCGTTCGGCCTGCTAGATATACATCTGCCTAACTAGTCTCGTTTGATCACTTACTCAGTGTATTCTTACTGACAGTTTGGTATAAATCTATCACTGAGGATACACAATTACACACCGTAATACCGAATACCAGTAGTGATAGACAACATTTCAATTTGTACCACGTAACAGTACCTATATTATAATGACGTATTGATAAAGAGCTCGAAATATGAGATGACATAATATTATAAACAATTTTAACGCATTTAATTTTATAAATCAAATGTTTCTGTTGAATAATAAAATACAACAACATTAATAGTATAATTTATTTTTATGAAAACGTTTATTAATGTTGATTATTGTTATGTTTAAAGAATATAATTATTTAGTCGCTTAAGATCAATTTAATTTGTTTTCATTCTTAAATCCACCATAAATCATAAACAGTAAAAAAAGATGATTTTTGTGTAAATTGATTGAAAATTAGAAAAAAAATAGAAGATAAAAATTAGTTATTTAGATTCGCGTGTCATTTCACATATATTGTTTGCTACGAAGGATCCCATCATCGTCTATAGAACTCAAAAAATCATAAATACCTAATGACATAGTATCATTACGGTTGTATTATTAGTTATTACAACGAGAATTATATGCGCTACGGCTGTGACCTCGGGAATAATGTAAATCAGTATAGTCACATTTCGGGTGACATCGTATGCGCCAAACTGCGTCAGATCGGTGTCGATCGTCGTACAAAATTATACTCACTTTAGGTACCGGGCACGTTGCCTGCGCAGCTTTACATAACAAGCTTGTGTAAGATAATCGTTTATAATAATACATTTTTTATTTAATATTTATATATATTGATATATAATATGGAGACGACGGCTGCAATAATAATTTACAATTCTTCCTCCAGGCTGAAATAGCGATTGATTTGAAGGGATTTCCGAAAGAAATGATCGAGCTGAACTTTTTCAGTGTGGTGGTGGTACCGTTGGTCGGTTTGATATCGTACGCGATATGGTCACGACTTCGCATGCCGGTGGAATACCGACAGATCTCGTCACATGTGCCGTCCGTCACGAAAAGCTTTTGGAGTGAAATAGTGCTTTCGTTGAAACTCGCGATGCTACAGCCCAAAGGTACTTATATACGCCACTCGTAATAATTAGTTTTAAATGATTTTCAATCCAATGACGGTGTGTTATGACGTAGGTGTAATATTATTATGTAGACGTACCAACATTATCCGTTATTTCGTCAGTTCGTCTGTATACATTGAAACAGTATAAGATGCACCTATAGCTGTATTGTATTGTGTGTAAGGATTATTTGATAAAGTCAAGCACATTTTTTGTTGAAAAGTATCCATTTTTTTGAGGATATCTTTTATAAAAATCAAATTTCAAACCAGTATATTTAGTTTTAAGCAAATACCTAACGTTTGAACTAACGTATAAGTGGACCCAATTTTTCGAGTTGCCGAGTGTTGTCCCTCCCCACTATAATTTATAGCTAAAGACCGGATTTTGCATAAAATGCATGTTGCTATTTTCAACATCATAGACATGCAGTCAATGAGTCTCCATAAATCATTACTTGATTGATTAAATATCAAAATATTATAGTGCATATGTTTCCATATTCTGAAGTTAGTGCATGTTTTGCATATTTTTGCATATTTTATCAAAAAACCGTACAAATATACACCTAACAATCAAAAAATGTGTTGAGCAAACATAAAAAAGAGATTATAGGTACGTTTATATAATATTAATATGAAATATTACATCTCAAAAAATAGTCGGGCGCTAAAAATAGGTTAGGTTATTGTTTTTCCAATTAACATACTACATTAAATGTTTCGTTCTTTATTCCTATTTATATCACTATATCACCAATGTATCTATTATTTAATTTTTTTACAATGTATCAATGATTAAAAATTAAATTACAATTTAAAAAATTAAAATCAAATATAACATGTAATAAAAACTGAAATTTAATTTTGCATGTTTTGCATCTTTTTCTTGCATATTTTGCCTTTTTTTAGTGCATGTTTGCATGCATATTTTAAAATTTTAAATGCCTATACAACCGGTCTTTACTTATAGCAAATTAACACTTTGTTGAAAGTACAATTTGTATACCATATTTATTGAAACTCGCATGAAAATAACATTCTGCTTCTGAATAAAAAATTAAAATAGAATGCTGTAATTTAAGTAAAAACTTAACAATTACGTATGGTTGATGAAGTAAAATTTCAGAAATTTAGTATTCAAGAAATTGCTAGAAATTAAAGAAATTTAAAAATGTTGTTTTATTTTTTAATAGTGCTTACTTTTTTACTTTAGGCTTGTAACATAAGAAATATTCACTGCATTTTTAATATTCATTACATTAAAAAAATACTGTACAAATTGTATTAATTTAAATACCTATTTTGTTATTCAACATAATTAACAAGTACAGATGTAATAATTATAATATTTAACATTTGTGAGGATAGTATATCATTCGTAGTATTGCTATTTTATCACAACAAAATTAATATAAATAAAAACAAAGAACACAGTTTTTTTTTAACTTCTCTAGGAAAATAGGTCAATTTAGAAATTTCAAAATGAAAATTTATACTTAGAAATTTCCTACCTACATTACTAGGTGACTGTCAATTTTAAGAAATTTAGAATTTGATGAAAACTTCAAAATACAAATCAAGGACTTAATTAAATATACTTAAATAATTAAGATTGAAACATTTACGTATTCTTAAATTTGGCTAGAAATAAAAATGTGAAAATAATAATTTCAATAAAAAACTATTAGGTACAGCTTAACACGATCGATAGAATAGTAGATTTCATGAACTAAATCAGACATGAATCAGTTGCCATTAAAATCACATTTTTTATACCATTTATACATAAACTTCCTAGAGCAAAATGCTCCAGTTTCCGTTCACCCATTATTTATGCATTATTATTTACTATTAGGTACAATGTCTGGCGTAAAAAATTGTAAGTAAATATGTAAATAAATGAAAATTAAAATAATTCATTAATAATCAAAGAATAAATACAATATCTATTTATAACTCTATAAGTGGCATACAATGAACCTATTCCGTCAAAAAAAAAACAAAATTGGATTAGATTGATAACATTATATTTTTCTTACAAATTATTTAGATATATTGCCATTTGTAACGGAGCTATTTAAAGATAATGGTCCAGTAGTGCATTTTAACCTTTCAGGTAGATCTTACGTTTTACTGAACGATCCAGATGATTTAAAAGTGAGTATATTTTTGATTGGTTTAAACATAATTCATATTTTATTATTTTATATGATCACAGAAATACGAGTTTATTTAAGCCCCTAATATCCAACAAACTATTTTTGTGAATTTAATAACAGCTTAACATTTTAACAGTTACAAATGTTGAATCCAGACAATTTCTTTGGGGGGGTCGACGACCATTAAACAATAACTTATTTATAGTAGTTTGGATACGTTTTTTAAAATGTAGTTTACCTCCAAAATAAGCCCAAAGATAAACTTATATTTTATAAGATTATAACAAATAGCTTAAAAAACATATGTTGAAAATATTTTTAACTGCAAGTTAAAATACCCTTATAATTGTCATAAAAAATATTTATGTCTTATAGCAAATGTATTTGTGTAAATCGAAGTACTATTTTCAAGGTTAGATCGATCACTGTACGTAGGTACTATGTTATTAATCAATAGTTTTGTTTTTATCACAATAAATATTTATAAGATTTTGAATTTTTTATAATAATTAACAAATCATTAACAACTTTTAAGTTATAGTTTACTAAAAAATTGTACTGGTTTACATATCTGTAATAATAAAAAAAACAATTAAAAAGACTAGCGAGTTTCTCGAACAATAGCCGGATATGAAAAATGTAAATGAAAAAATATAAATGTCAAATTGAATTTCCACGCTACCAACACCGCCACTATACTATTCACCTCAACCAAACCCGTAGAGGTGTAGAACGGTAACAAAATTCTGACAAACCTGCACACTAAACCATATGATGAATTTGCATAAAAAAAAACAATAATATTAATGTAGGTGTCAGAATTAGCCTGCAGTCTATTAGTACCAACGTCATAATATTATCCCAACCATTATATCCCATACGGCATACCTTTACTCCCATAGGCGTCACTTGGTAGACAGTAGGTATTGTACTGAATACTGGTCAGGTTGTGAAGACGAAACCACGTTAATGGTTAGGTCAGATTAGGTTTATTCGAATTTATCAATTTTTTCTATACACACATGTTTTGATTGCAATTTGCAGACCCACAGAACTCCGCAGTTCGTTCTAATAACAAATAATAGTATTAAGTAGCTAGTACATCAGCTATTACAAGAGCTGTAAATTCAAAAATTTAAAAATTTGTTGTCATCAGCTATTGCGGTAAAATAATAATCGTATACTATAATATTAATAATTATGCATTTACTATAGGTTCTACTATCTAATATACAATATATCAAAAAAGGACCCGAGTACAAAATGTTAAAACCATGGCTGAACGAAGGCCTTTTATTGAGCTCAGGTATTTTTCACACACTTAAATGAAACGATAACGCGTAACAATTCTGGAATTAAAAAATAACAGATATTTCCTATCTATAATATTATATACAGGTCAGAAATGGCATAGCCGGCGGAAGCTCCTCACCAACACGTTTCACTTCAAAACATTAGACATGTACAATCCTTCCATAAACAAACACTCGCGCATATTGGTAGATAAGTTATTGGACACGTTTGCGAACGACGATAAAGAAATCTCCATCGCTGAATACGTTACTTTGTGTTCTCTGGACATTATGTGTGGTAATTTTTATTACTTACCAATAAATTATCAATGCTAAGTGTACAGACCACAACTGAACTGTGAATATGGACCGAAAAACTTGTGACACATTATCGAACGCCACCGCTGTATTGATTTCGTTTTCAATGGCTTCATAATTTTTTTTTCATGATTGAAAATAAACATCCATTACATACATTTAATATCTTAAACCGTGTTTTTTGGTAATAGATAAAAATATATAATATCTATTCATAATAACTAAGAATTTTATTTTCGTCTATATAATTCCATTGAAAATATATATTATAATGATAATATAATGGCAGAATTTTATATAAGAGGGCACTTTTCATTGCACGAATTATATACCTATATAATGCGCGAGTTCAATATTTTCAGTTCAGTGAGTGTGACATGACCAAAATATCTCTGATACCATGATGATAATGGAATACATTATACATAATACATAATATAAACAAAATAAACCAATCAAGACCACTATTGTGAAATTCGTATGCATTAACTTCTTAAGTATATTGTTTGTTTTAGAAACAATAATGGGCACTGAGATGAATGCTCAAAAAGGTAAATCAGCTGAATACGTTCATTCGATTAAGAGGTATACTCACATTTTAGAATATTCCGATCTACTTACCAATGAAACTAAATAAAGAATAATTATTGTGATTACAGTTAAAAATCATTATAATTTCTAACAAAAAAAAAATATTTAAATTAGTATATATTCTATTATATGTAGTTACTTAAAACAATACATTGAGTTATAATCATTTATGATTTTGTTTGTTTTTAAGTGCTTGCAAATCGGTGATTGAACGTATTTTCAAATTCTGGCTGTGGAATGATCTGGTTTTTAGAATAAGTGGAAGTGGTCAAAGTTTTTTTAAATCAATCAAAGTTCTACACAAGTATACTGATAACGTTTGTACATTCAAAGCATAAATAATACTTTTTATTAAATATAACCTTTAATTATTGTTTACTGTTATAATCGTATTATTAACACCACCAACGAATAACATCAACAGTAAAATCTGCAAGGACACCATAACTATTTTTCTCGTGATAGATCTAGATATGACATGACATAAAATATTGTGTTTTGTTAATAATTATTCTATCAATCATCGATCACATATATTAACCTAATAACCTATAACTTCCACGTGGTGCTCCCTGGGCGTTTTTTAACTGCTAAAGATCTATTAACTTGGCAGTCAAACTATATCGTTCATAACGGCCTCCTTGCCTGGTTATACCTGAAACTGGAAGAATACTTACAGTGGACTTCATCGAGCTAGATAGTTAATTCCGAGACTGGAGATTAAAATCTAAAACATAACGGAAGCATCAAATGCCCAACTCAACATAGCTTTCAACGGAGTTGTCCTAAATCATAATCACCACCCAAAGTATCTTGGCGTAATATTTGATCGTACATTTAAATCGTTCCTTAAAACTCATCTTCAAAATATGTGGTGCAGGTGCACACTTAATAGAGTCCGTACTCCCCATGGTAGGTGTGCAGCTTCCTGCACAAATGGGACATACCAAACTCACCAGAATATAATTTGCGGATCAATTATATTGCTTTCGAATGCCCAAGCCGTTCCTATCAGGGACTCAGAATGGGTTGTCCCATAACCTCACCCACATTTATTCAGTGCCTGAAGAAACTACTATAATATTACTAACTAGATCTACTACTCTAATACCAAATATTATATTGATTTGTTGACTTAATAATATTATCCACTGTCATCAATATACTACTATAAATTGTATTATATTTTAATTTAATTTAATTTAATTTATATTTTCATGTAACCTTTTTATCATTATCTAATATAGTCTATATCGAAATCACAAGACACGAGCTAAATAAATAAAGTATATTGTTTTATTTTCATGTAGGTAATTAAAAGTAAAAGAGCGTCGTTGAATAACTCTGGAATTGAAAAAGCGCAGTCAAACAGTAAATTTGGTACGTACAAATTAAAGATTATCGTTCTTTTTCTCGTGCATCGTGAATTTCAATATTTTTTTATATTATTGATACATTATTTAATTATTATTCATTATTAATTATTATTTTTTTTTATAATAATTATTATTTGTCTAAATTATAAAGATATTATTTACACACATTTTAACTATTGACCGTTTAGAAAAAACGCATAAGAAATCGTTCTTAGACTTACTTCTCAACGTCTTGAACGACACGCCGGATCAAATGAGCGACAGAGATATTCGTGAGGAAGTAGATACGTTTCTTTTTGAAGGCCATGATACAACTTCCATTGCGATGACGATGATTTTGGTTTTACTAGGGATGCATCCAGACATACAAGTAAGAATTTTTTTGTTTCATTTTACATTTTAACAATAATTGTTATTTAACAGGATCAAGCCAGAGACGAGCTACGTAGCATTTTTGGATATTCTAACAGAGATGCTACGATGGAAGATTTAAATGCTATGAAATATTTGGAAGCCGTAATCAAAGAATCGCTTAGAATGTTTCCAAGTGTACCGGCCTTTACGAGAGAACTAGATAAACCATTGCAGCTCAGTTAGTATTACTTCAAATATTCATTATAATATTTTAAACAAATTATTAGAAATTTAGGTACTCTTGTGTTTTAATTTGTTCAAGTGTCTATGAATAGTTTTGATTTAAATATAAATCACATGATGGTGTAATTTTTTTTTCAAAATAAAAATGAATGTGTATTTATACATTATATCATTATGATACTGCGATGATTTATACTCAAATTATAATTATTTGATAAATAAAACAAACTTATATGTTTGAAATTCAAAATTTACAATTAAATGTCAATCAAATCAATTTTGATTAAAACTAACTAAAAATACAATAATGCGTTGTGTTATAATATAAAGATCGAAAGAGGATAGATTGATTTTAAATTGCATCAAAAAATTGTTGTATAATATTGTTTAAATTTTCAGATAAATATACTATTCCTCCAATGACTACAATAACAGTATATCCCTTTATTTTACACCGCAATGAAGAAATATATCCAAATGCCGAAGAATTTATCCCTGAAAGGTTTTTGGACGAAGAAAATAAGACAAAATTTATATTTGGATATTTACCGTTTAGCGCCGGCGCCAGAAACTGCATTGGTATAGTTATTGCTTCTGCTATGGAACATTTTTAACTGAGGAATATTTCCGTTTCTTAACTTGGCTTATGTTTTAGGACAAAAGTATGCAATGAATCAAATGAAAATAGTTGTATCAACCATATTAAGGAATGCTAAGTTTGAATCCTTAGGAAGCAAAGAAGATATTCAAATTAGTACACAACTAATCATAAGAATAGAGTCACTTCCAAAGATGAAATTTTATAAGCTTTAAATCTTTAATAATATTTATTTATTTATTTAATTAATTATTTAATAATTTCACGGGCTGTGCCCTATTATACTAAGCGTAGTGAATAGATATAATTATAACTATATTTTCGTAAATATTTTATTTCATTTAAATACATAAATTGTAATTACTTACGTATAGGTACCTATGTATACGATTCATTTATTAGCTATGGATTGGTAGTATATTTTTAGCCAAAAAGTATTTTAACAACTGTACAAGACGATGGTATTATTTCAAATTTTGGGCCTGGGTGTAAAACTTACATCAGTCACGATTCTACTTGGAAGTGTACTTAGTGAACTAACTATTAATATTGAGTTTGATCTACTCTATCAAATTCGTGTTGTTGAAAAACATTATTGCAATAAATAATGATGATATTTAATTTAATTTTAAGGATGGTAGCTGTCATTTATTCGTTTCTGCCCAAAAAAAAAATCAAAAAATTCAATTTCCATAAATAGCTAAAACAGTATATGTATTGGAAATATTATGTATAGAAAATGCTAATATAAATATTTGGTAAGAAATTCAAGTATCTACGGTTATTCATTTTTAAATTATATAAAATATGAATACCTATTGATTTTGTCAAAAACCGGTATTGGGTAATAATGTTGTTGTAATTTCCCGATTACCTATTTTGAAACATATTGAGATCTTTCGATTTCGACTTTCCAAAAGTATCGTCAGGTAGATTTATCCGATTTGCAGTCCAAAACTTCTTGATCGAAGCATTTTTCTTAAAATAAATTCGTATAAACGTCTACAAAAAACCAATCCCATACATTGTAAAACAATAAAGTTATCGCTCTACTCAGAATCTAAAATACTGGTAAAAATGGGTTTGGGATGTAGTTTTCTTGTTGCAGTAGAACATTACCGGACCGCGTTATAGGTTGCTACCAAGCCCAGTCAGTCACCGTTGAATTGCTAAACCAAGGAGATTGACGACATGCGATGTCGTTTGTTCGTATATTATTATAATGCATACCTAACGTTACCGTCTTACTATAATATATGATATTATGCAATGCAGCTGTGACCTCGGAGATAATACAATTATACAAACCAGTTATTTCGGACTATGTCGCCGTACACCCAGTGTTGTAAAATATTTGAGTAAAAGTATTTGAGTAAAAGTATTCAATTACTAGAATCATATTTATAAAATGCAATAAACACACTGCATTTTATTCTATTATCTAGCGAAGTTAGAGTTCAATGACCCATTACAAGATTTAAAGGCAAGAATATTTTCAAGGACATCACCCAATATTTTTGTTGATATTATAACTACGAAGCAAGTTGTGAACGTTATAAAACAGCACATTTTTTGTAAACTTTCAATTGTCTACAAAACTTGCTACGTAATTAAAATATCAATCAAAGCCTTTGAGATGCAACAAATAATTATCATATTAAAATGAGTCAATTAGATCTAATTTTAAAAACAACGTACCATTTTGCTGTTTTAGGTTAACATTATAAAACGGAGTCAACACATGTGGGTGTGGCATAATCCCACAGAGACACAGAGGTAGTCAGAAGTAGGCACTTACGACTTACCTACGCTCAATTCGTAACCAGCACATCACTGCTGCGCAGTTAATCATTGCACTCGCTTGGCCATGTAGTGAGACACATTATTATTATTATTATTATTGAGCCGACCACGTCAATTAAATATTAATATCATAGTTTAAAATTTAAATCAACCGATCGTTATTCCAACGTGGAGGATAATTTGAAATTATTATTTATTAGAAGCTGTGGCCGAAATGATCGAACTGAACGTTTACAGTGTGGTTTTGTTGCCGTTGGTGGGTTTGATATCGTACGCGATATGGTTGCGACTCCGTATGCCGGTGGAATACCGACAGATCTCGTCTCATGTGCCGTCCGTCACCAAAAACTTTTGGAGTGAGATGCTGCTTTCAACGAAACTTGCGATGATGCAACCAAAAGGTAACCCCTACTTGTGTGAAGTTATATTAATTTCGATTGATTTTCCCCAGCTCACCCCCTTTTTTTCTTTCCATAACGTCGTAGTTCTTCTAAATCTGAATTTTGGAATTTTTAAATATATAAAATTCTTGAAGATCACATTTTCAAATTATTGAGATTATTCGAGTTATTCAAGATAACTTAGAATGTTTTACTGTAAATTTTTTTCTAAAAATGAGGGCTTTTCTAAATCGAAATTTGAAAGAGTTGTTATTGAGTTATTTAACTTTGTGTACCTACTAAAAATATTTATAGGTCCATGATAATGATTAATGGGTATAGAAATATTGGAGATATGGAAATTTGAGCATTTTAGTGATTAATATTAAATATTAATCTATCATATCAACATAAATAATGTGTAAAAATAGTCCAAATATAATATATAGTAGATTCAATATTACATATAGGTACTTTTTATTTTTCTGTAACCATTTTAACGAATATTATCCTTAGTATAAATATTCAAATAACTGAGGAACTACTAGTTCGAATTTTAAATTGAGTGCATCAACATTTTCAAAAAACTATCCAGTTAATAATTTACAATAAAAAATAGTGTTTTCATTTGGTAAATATAAGTTTGTATCGCCAAAAGACACTTCTTAAGTAAACAAAAAATTTCAAGAATTTGAAAATATGGTCTTTATTAATGTCTAATATTATATTTAAAAATTCCAAAAATTCATAGTCATTGAATTAATTATTTTAAAAAAATGGTGGTGAGTACGTTTAGTGAATCACTCTGTATATTATCATTTAACGAGTATATTATTGGATTCAGTTCATTAGCCTTACCTAAACTATACTAAAATGGTATAATATTTTTAGAAAATTAGAATTTTGAAGACATTTTTTCTAAAAATAAATTTAAAACACAACCCGCGAGTAATTCAATATAATATTATAATATATAATATCAATTATACAAATAAGTTTTAAACATTCAAGAGTATACAACATACCTACGTATTACTCAAACTACAAATAAATTAGAATGAACCAATTATATTAATAGAAAACTGTACGAGCACAACAAGATTGAAATAAGAATTAGAAAACTAAATCAGTACCTATTTAATAGTATACAGTTATTGTGGCATATCATATATATATCATATTATTATAATTTTTGAATTGATAACTTTCTATTTTTCTTAAAAATTATTTAGATATTTTGCCATTTTTAACGGATATGATAAGAAATAACGGTCCAGTAGTTCATTTTAACCTTTCAGGCCGATCATACGTTTTTCTAAACGATCCAGACGATTTAAAAGTAAGTGATTGATTTATATATTATTATGGGTACATTTGAGTTTTCAAAATTTAGTTACCTGAAAATATTTCTAATGGTAAACTGGGTAATATACGATTGCGAATAGAACGATTTCGAACGGACCTTTTCCGGTGACACGATTGCGAACGTTTTTACCCTACTTTAATTTTGTGATGTTGTCAGATTTGGTGTCAATAACTAATTTTTAAATAATAATTTTAAAAATAATCAAATAGTAATAATATACCTAAGGGTTTTTTGCTATTACACCACGCCGGGGCGATACCGATAAGATAGATAAGTACGATGTAGTAAAGATACTAACACATTTAACTATAATATTATATCTATATTAATTTGATGAAAAGCCAGCTCGATTCATATAGTCGAGCAGTATTATTTGTTATTCATTCGTATCATAATCGTTTCGCTTTGTTCTTTTCAATATCGAAATTCAAATAATTATGTCTGAAAAAGGCAAGGACTTAGTTCTCTTAAATAATTTTAAATAGTGTTTTGTTAGAAAACGTAAATATGGGTATATTAAATGGGTCTGTACAGACAAAAATTGCACTGCAAGTATTTTAACAACTGCAGATAAGACCTCTCTACATCAATCGACTGGTGAGCATAAACACTTAGTTAAGAGTCAACAAAAAATCGAACGACAAATTAATTATAAATAATAAATTAAATTATAAATTATAAACTTTGCAGCGTTGTCTAAAAAAAACGTTCGCAATCGTTCGATTTTCGGCTAAAAAAACAAATTCTCTGATAAGAGTTATTCCTTCGCAATCGTATTATAAAAAAGGTAAAACGTTCGCAATCATGTTGTACAAGAAGAATAATACTATATTGATTATTTATGACTTATGAGAGAACACAGCTAATGTTTTTTTATAAGAACATTGAAAAGTAACACAGGTATAACAGCTTTAAAATTTAAAAGGCTAGACCTTCTAGACCCTTCCCCTCCACCAAATTATAATTTCAATAAATAATAATAAGTCAGCTATTACAAAAACTTGACTAGGTACAAAGTTTATTTTTTAAATTCTTATATTGGTAAATTGGTTACTTTATACATGAATTAACATTAAGTTAATTAAAAGCTAGTAATAAAATGAAATATGACATAAAATAACTGAATAAAGGAGTCTTCAATATAATTATAGGAGCTACTTCATCATATTATAAAGTTTGAAAAAAATTGTTGCCATGAGCTATTACAATTTACAACAGAATAATTATTGTACACTAAAATTTGCATTTAATGTAGATTCTACTGTCCAATACCCAAAATATCAAGAAGGGTCCAGAGTATAAAATGTTGAAACCCTGGCTGAACGAAGGTCTTTTATTGAGCTCAGGTATGTTTGTCAGAGATATGAAATGAAACGATAACGAGTACACAACTTTGGAAGCCGATAACTAACATTACCTACCAATCTATAAGATGATATGTACTTACAGGTCAGAAATGGCATAGCCGACGGAAACTCCTCACCAACACGTTTCACTTCAAAACATTAGGCATGTACAATCCTTCCATAAACAAACACTCGCGCATATTGGTGGATAAGTTACTGGACGCTTCTGCAAAGGGCGATGAAAAAATCTCCATCGCTGATTATGTGACTTTGTGTTCTTTGGATATTATTTGTGGTGATTTATTACGTAAAATTTAATTTTTGGTTGATAATGCAATGATGTGTATACACTATACATTGCCAAAATACATTTGTAGTTATATCTGACTTGCCCTGCTTAATATAATGTAGTATAATGGCATTAAAATTATTCGGTTGAATATGTAAATTAAAAATAAATCAATCGTTTGCACAGCAATAAATAGTTATAACTCATCGAGCATGTATACATAATGTATATTATTTGTTGTAGAAACAATAATGGGTACCGAGATGAATTCTCAAGAAGGTGAATCAGTCCAATATGTCCATTCAATTAAATGGTATACCAACATTTTACACTATTTTTATTTTTATTTAAATCTGCTTACCAATAAAACTAAATACAGAATATTCTTTGCAAATTTGCTTGTTTTTTCTAATTTCTGTCTAAAAAATATTTAAACTGATTCAATTATTTAGCTACTATTACTTATATTGAATTATAATTATTTATTCGTATATTTTTTTTTGTTTTTAAAGTGCTTGCAGATCGGTGATAGAACGTATTTTCAAATTCTGGCTGTGGAATGGTCTGGTTTATAAAATGAGTGGAAGTGGTCAACGTTTTTTTAAATCAATCAAAGTGCTACACGAGTTTACTGATAACGTGTGTACACCAAAAGAATAAATAATACTTTTTATTCCATATAACCGTTAATTGTATACTGTTATAATCGAATTATTAACACCACCAACGGTAAAATTTGCAGGGACACCTCAATTATTTTTCTCGTTGTAGATCTAGATGTGACATTACGTAGAATATTGTGTTTTGTCCATTATTACTCTGTCAACCCAACCATCGTTAACGTGGCTATATTATAGTGTGTATATTGTGTTTTCAATATAGGTAATTAAAAGTAAACGAGCGTCGTTGAATACCTCTGAAATTGAAAAAGTGCAACCAGACAGTAAACTTGGTAAGTACAAATGAAATATTATCGTTTTTCTACCCGTCAGTCATAAATGTCAATAATTTCAATATTTTAAAAATAAATTAATATCTATAGACATATTTATGAAAATAACACTAACATATATTTTAGATTCTAAGCGGAGCGATGGTGTTTTTTTAAAAATTATTTTATTTTTTATTTGTGTCTATGTACACGATAAGTAGTCGAAATCGGAAATAGTGCTTCGATTTTCAACTTAGGTATCTTTTCTGGTGGGAACTTAAATCTAGTTGGTCCATTTGGAACATCAAGGAGGTTAAAATTCCCAGAAGTTTTCAAAAGCGCCGGAAAAACAAAACAAAGTTAAGGAAAAAAGGGAATATATGGGTACGCATGAAACATTTAGAGCAGGTACATTATTATATTTTATACACACAATGGCACTTTCAAATGCAATTTGATAGACAACAATTAATTTAAGCTGCTAATCTAATGCTTATTATATGGTAAAATAAATTACTTTAAACACAATAGCTAGTTTCATAAAATATACGTACTTAGTAATAAGATAGGTTGCCAGACCGTTTCCGCTCAGGACCGTTTAACGTATACAATGATTTTGTATCATTGAAATCAAATTTAACACATCCATTACAATGCCTCCCTAAATACCTTAATATACAGTAGAGGGTTACCCACTTATTCGCTTTTTACTACTGATCGTTTAGAAAAAACGCAAAAGAAATCATTCTTAGATTTACTTCTCAGCGTCTTGAACAACACGCAGGAACAGATGAACGACAGAGACATTCGTGAGGAAGTAGATACATTTCTTTTTGAAGGCCACGACACATCTTCCATTTCGATGACAATGACTTTGGTTTTGCTGGGGATTTATCCAGATATACAAGTAAGGATATGCTGTAATTAATGTCACATTTCAATATTAAAAAATATTTAACAGGATCAAGCTAGGGACGAGGTACGTAGTATTTTTGGAGACTCTGACAGAGATGCTACGATGGAGGACTTAAATGCCATGAAGTATTTAGAAGCTGTTATTAAAGAATCTCTTCGACTTTATCCAAGCGTACCAGGCATTACGAGAGAACTACAAACGCCATTACAGCTCAGTAAGTACTTCAAATCGTCATAATATTTTTTTAATTAATATCAAAGTATCAATAATTATTATTAAAAAAAGTTCAGGAATTTAAATAGTTTTATTTCAATATAAATGGCATCAGTACATTATTTTTTTTTTTTCAAAATAAAATAAATTATTTTATATAAAATGATGTGTGTTTATCACATCATAATATACTTCAAATATTGATAGTTAGTAGTTAAATTATAATTTTTTAATGAAAACAAATCTGATCATGAAATTCTTAATGTTTTATTTAAAGCCAATCACTTCAAGATTTTTTTATTCATATTTACTTCTAAACACAATAATAAGTAACAACCAACAATTATTGTTGTATTATACAAATTGTGTTTCATTTTAAAGATCAACATTGTGAATAGGTTAAAAACTTTTTATAATATTGTTTAATGTTTTACAGAGAATTACATTATTCCTCCGATGACAACGATTGCAGTGTATCCTTTTATTCTACACCGAAATGAAGACATATATCCAAATGCTGAAGAATTTATCCCTGAAAGGTTTTTGGACGAGGAAAACAAGGCGAAATTTCAATTTGGATACTTACCGTTCAGCGCGGGTGCCAGAAATTGTATTGGTATGATTGGTTTCATTTTACTTCTCAATTTTATTTTTAATCTATGTCATTATATTATAAAATAATCAAGACATGTGAAAAGAGTTTAATTTGCGCAATGTATGAAATTTTGATAAAATAGGGTGGCCATTCGTCTCGAATTTCCCAGGATGCTACCAGTTTAGGAATCCATGTGCCGGCGTCCCGACAAAGGTTCTCGGGACACCGATTTGTACCAGTTTAGGACTTTTGCATAGTAATGTTCCGGGAATTAAAATCGTTTTATAAATTTATTCTTTTACTTACTCGGTTATCGATTTTATTTTAAACAAATCCTAATGACCTAATCGTAAATTATTTCGAGAACAGTCGTCAGAATGTACGACAATCACAGTTATAAATTATAATCACTTTCTAAATTTAACCAACCTACTGCCTTTAACCACATAAATTTTCTATAGACAATTTCTACTATGATAACGAAAAATAATATTATTAATAATATGTATTTAACAGAAAGGATAATTTATTGTACATACATAATTTAACAGTAATTTTCTGACGATACAAGTCGTATGCTATTGCGAAATACTTTATAGTGTCGTCATTTTATACAGTTCATTATTTTAACGTAATGACTATGCCGCCTTATAGACTGTCATTTTAACGAAAGATTGCAAAATGATTTCCCATTTATAAAAAAATTTTTTTTTATGAATTTAAGTGTCTTGGATTTCTTAAAATTAAATCTGGCCACCCAAGATTAAAATAATGTTGCTAGTATAATATACATTATACTGTATTAATTACAGAATAACCCAAAGAAATTGATGATTGAAACAAACAGGTTATTTTTTAAGTTAAAACAATTTTATTTGCATATTTTATTAGCCAATTACATATAATTTAATATAGTATATAATTTCAAAATATAACATCATCCATACCTATTATGATCACTATCATCTTGTTCATAACACGAATCTGTTCATAAATTTGAAGTAAACAGCAGGATTGAGCGTGTTGTCACATGTTGTAACATTATTTTACATAAATCTACTTTTGGATATTGTTTTAGGACAAAAATATGCAATGAATCAAATGAAAATAGTTGTATCAACCATTTTACGGAATGCGAAGTTTGAATCCTTAGGACGTAAAGAAGACATTCAAATTAGTACGCAATTAGTATTGAGAATAGAGTCACTTCCAAAAATGAAATTTTTTAAACTTTAGTTATCAATAGAACTTTCACGATAACCAACCTAATAAATTATTTGTACCCATTTCAGTCACAATTTTCTGTTTTATTATATTATATAAATAGTAAGTACCTATAGGTAGCTTTTTGTGGGTGTTTATCACGAAGCTGTAGAGGGATAATCATCACGCTTAGGTACCTAATATGTGTATTAATCATACATTTATTGTTTTCAAACACATTACAAATATTGTATTATTTGGTAATAAAAGATAAAAATAATGTGTGTATAGTTTTTTTTGTACTAACACTTAAGTAGTAGTTTGGTTCATCATAAAAGAAATAATAAATTATTATTTGCAAAACGTTAATTAGGTATGTTTTTAAAAGTTACACGGTACTACGGTAGTACCTACATTCATATTCATCATAGGTAATATATCTATAAAATAACCAATTTTGCTTCAGGAAAAGTAGAGGATCAAGAGAAGCGATAAGTTAATCTTAAAAAAATAAACAAACAAACATACATTACGATTGTTGATATCGACCATCGATAATGTAAACTAAGTGATGTTAAAAATTATGAAAATCGGAATAAAATATACAGTTAGAAACGTAATGTGCAACATATACAAAGCGGAAGTGGCTATAGTAAAAGTGGATGTATATAAAAAAAGAAACTAAAATAAGAAAAGGAGTCAGAGGAGAATGTATATTTTCCTCTTCTACATATACGTGGGCATAGACACGGAGATGATATAGGAGATGGATCAACCATGTCCTTTTTTTAGATTCTTAGAGGAGCAATAATTATACATTGATTTTAAAATGATGTAATATTTTTCCCTAGTCACCTTTTGGGGCAGAGAAATACTTAAACGAATTTCTACTTCGGTTAGGAAAGTGAACCTAGTTGATACTTTTTAAGGAATTGGAGGAGTCGAAAGAGAAAAATCCCATGTAGTTTTCAAATCGAAAAAAAAATTAAGGAATAACAGAACATTTTTACTCAAAACTATAGTTATCTAAAAAATTGATTTTGTCATTTGATGTTATTTATTTTAAAAATATTAACCATGCCGTACCGTATAGATATATGACATTTTCACCGAATGTCTATATATTAGGATTTTTTATGTACACTAACATTTTCAATATATTTTGACTCTTTTTAAGCTATTTATAGGCAAAAAAAATATTTTTTGGTAGGTATTTTTTTAATTATTGTAAATGAAAATTGTTTACTTGGCCAAAAAACTTTAATACTGGTTTCTAATGCAATGAAAATGTAATACAAGGTTTCCCATAAGTCATTGTTAGTGGAAATTAAACAAAAAGTTGAATATAAATCCACAATATTTTTTTATGAGCGTCTAAAATTTCAAGAAATCATTAATTATTTTCAGTTAGAAATTCATTCATTAATTTTATACCCATCTAAGATTTGAAAATTTAATACGAGAATCTCCAAAGTTAGTAAATAATATCAGCAGGTAAATATAAATGGTAAGAAATAAGAATTAATAATTGATAAATCATAATTTGTATTACAACCAAATAGGTGTGGTGTGTCAGATGAATTTTGAAAATATATAATTTCTATAATGATTTTATAGTGTTTAAAAGTCTGAACTCTGAGACATAATATTTGACATAATGATATCAGTGATCTATTTCATTTTGCAGGTATTCTGAATATGAATACAAAGAGAACCTTTCTTTTAAGTATTTAAACAACTATTTAACTACTGAGATATAGTACCTATGTATGCCTAATAATGTATACCGATTACCGATGTGTACCAAGTACTAACCGATTTGTAACTTGTAAGTACCTATACCAACCTATTGGCTATATGAATAACTAACCGTCCGAATAGTTCCGACGCAACTAATACTTAGTACTTACCACTGACAAGTGGGTAGTGACTAATGGCAATAACTATAACGTCTATAACAGGTACCTAATAGATATACTTACGTCTGAAGGGAACGCGGATAACCTGGATTGTATAAATCTGGAATACAAAATATTGAAATCCGTACAAATCTAAACAACGCATTGGTTTGTCTGGGTTTAATATTAATATATTATCATATCAACTTATAATGAATTTTGTTAGTTATAGTTAAATGTTATGAATTATTAATATATTGAGTTACGGGCACCCATCTAAGACCTTAATGTAACCTGTGGACCGCTTGGATTTATGTTTCCGGATCCGAAAAATATCACCAATCGTCTAAACCACCCCTGAATATTTATAAAAATAAACCTATACAAATTAAAAGTATTCGTTTTAGCATTATTCAAAAACAGTATTTTAGTTAAAATGATTCGACCATTCGACTTATACGATAATCTAATCAATTATATTCACACATACTTGGCTACTTTATAAACATATATTATTGATGACACGATGACGTTATGCGTAATGTACCATGTACGTATTATAATATATCTACTATAATATAATAATGACACAACTTCATTTCCTTTGTAATTGGGCTTCTTTGTTAACCCAAGAATAAAAATTAATAATACAATTAATGCATAAATATAATAACATGATGTGACTTCTGTACTAGGAAAAAAACACATCACGCGAATAAAGTAATTAAAAGTTATCTTCTTTGGCCAATTCACTTCACTCTGCTCATTTGAATATTAATAAAAAAAACAGAGTACTAACTTTTCGACGGTTTTTCCACGGCCACGAATCCGAAACTGTGGTTCTTTTTTTTATTATACCTGGGTGTACCTATTTCGCTCTCGGCCGCCGATGCGTCTCCATTATCGCGACGATTTCAGGCGGCACTGAAATGGGAGTGCCTTTAATTTGCCACCGACCACCGTATACTTTTCGCAACAGTTCGTGTTCCGCGTCGGACGTAAACAGATTTGTTATATTATCAGACGACAATAATAATAATAAAAATAAGCGACCGCAGGTGCGACGACGCGTCCGACCAGCTACCGTAATGTCGTCAATAGCCGATCAATCTTTACCCGCGAGTTTTACGAGCGTTTATTGCGTTATAAGTTTAACAGAAAACCTAAAAAAAACAGAACAACGGAAAAAATCTAAAAGGTGGAATTTATATGTTATATATGTATTATTACATTATACGGGCGTTGCTTTGTCGTGTGATGAGCACGAAAACGCCTTATCAATCACAATTTATTTCCGCTTGGAAATATTTAAGGACGTCCGTCGTTGATTTTTTTCGGTTTTCACCCGATGATTTAATTTTCCGTGAACTCAATTACTATTGGAACCTGCAAAAACTCACACGACGGGTAATATACTGATATTGTAATATAATTCATATAGGTAGATATCACAGTATCAGTGGCACTAATCCCTATATTAACAGTAGTTAGTATGTGCACGGTAAATGTCTTATAGGTGCCTACCTTTTTAGAAAATGGTGTAGGAAGACCGGTGATGTAGTGACGACATAATCTTTATACCTTCATTACATTTAAGTTTGTCCTATATGCTGTTTTAAATCTTTTATTATTTAAAATTGATATGTATATGGGTAGGTTTATGTAAATGCTTAGGTGTGTTGGTGGTTGATTTTGCCCTACCTGTTGTAAAACAAATGGTTGCCACATAGACTCAGTCTCTGGGTAGGTACTAGTTACCACGGTACAACACAAGACACTGTGAAGAAAAAAATTCTCTCAATCATTTAAAACTATCTATGCTTAAGCGTCGGCGGATTTTTGGATATTTTAATTTTCAACATAGATGCATTTTTGATTAGTGTTATTTCACATACTCGTATCTTGCTTGAAAATATCGAAAATCCCCCGACGCTTAAGCATAGTTAATGTTCTCACCTAAAAGTTAGATAATACTTAAATTCACTCCAATATCAAAACTAACGGCACACTATTCAAACTGGTGAACGAAAATTTGCTATGTCGTAAGTCGGTAAGGCGGAGACAACAAACGCGTGGGTAGCATCCTCTTAAGACTTATCGGTTGCTTCTAGTTGTATAAACCAGCGGTTCTCAAACTGTGGTACGCAAAAAACTACATGTTGGTACGGAAGGCCTTAAGTAACACTGAACCAGATATTTCATCGCTAATATCAAATCCACAAATCCAAGGTTCTCATTGAAAATGTATTATTTAATTCATTCTTTAATTTTTAAACACTAATAAATGTTTATTAATAAATAAATAATAACTATATTGTAATATTTTACTGCATTTTTATTTAAAATAAATGTGTTTAACTATGTAAAGTCTGTATCTTTCTATTTGTAACCATCAGTGGTACGCGACTAATTGATACTATACTTAAGTGGTACGTGAAAAAAAATGTTTGAGAACCGCTGGTATAAACTATATGTATAGTAATAATACTTATAATTCTAGTTGAAATATAGATATTTTCATGAAAAAATAATATTATATTCGTATTTATTAATAAAAATCCCGAAGACATTACAAAACATTAATAATACGATTCTACGAATATTATTCTATAACCGATCTTAAAACCGATACCAACGCCAGAAAAATGAAGCCTAACGTAACGTTAAATTTTTCTTCGTGTGTTTCGATCCTCGCAAAATTGTTAAGGGCTTATAACTGTTCAGCTGTCTTATAGCAATTATATACCTATTATTACATTTGATCGACGTTGTAATAGATACCTACTTTAGTATTTACCCAATTACCCACGTATTTATTATTATTCAAGTGTTATATATAGGTACCACCTATCTACTTAATAATTTAACAAAACATTATTTTAAATGTATTTTAATACTTTTTAGAAGCCATAGCTAAGTTTAACAGCTTTTAAAGCCATTCAAATATTAATTTCTAAAAAATTTGGAATTTATAACATAAACTTCAGTCTTGTAAACTGTTCGCGATTGCGAACTACAAGCTGACTTATCGATGTTTATAGAGAAAAAAATTTAACAATATCAAATGTCTTTAAATAGCTCAAAATAAGTCAAAATATTTTTTAAATATTATCGTCTACATTAAAACAAGCGCATTTATCAGCTTTCTGCCCAAACATAGAAGATATAGAACATGTTTAACGTTTGTACATTTTCAGTAATCGGTCAGTTGTAAAGTAGTAAAAGTAATAATTATTATACTAGTATGTGAAGACCAAGAAAAAAAAGAAAAAAAGGTATTTTTGTACCTATATTGGATCCCTTAACGAATTTCCCGGATACCTACAACGCCACTGTAAGTCTGTATGAATGTATTTAATATTAGATTATCTGATTTCAATGTCCGGTGTAGACAATCAAATTACAAACGTGTTTAGCATATTATAATCAACAAATAACACATTTCAAACTTCAGGAAATCGTCATATGTACATATATATAATATGACTTACACATTGGTCAAACATTACCATACAGTATACACGACTATAGCGTCCATTATAGATATATATACTGTATACACAATCCAAATGGTAGTCCTTTATTAAACGGTTCAATAATTCAATTGTCTTCCTTCGCTGTCAATGTATGTTATTTGTTATACATTGGCTATTTGAATATATTAAATTTTAGGCAAAACATGGCAAAAGCCGTAGGACCACTGTAAAAATACGTTGAAAATGTTTTGTAGACAATAAATTTAAAAATAAATCACAATCGAATATTATACATATAAGACCTAATAGGTACCTTTTTTTCCCCCGTTCAAAAGCCAGGAAATGGTGGGAACCCTTAATTACAATACTGCCACCAGTGACCAGTTCCCGCACATAATATAAGTTATACATAGGTGAGGGCCTCTAAACAACCAGAAAGCTGGCCGACCTTCAGCTAGCCGTCAGCCCAATATTATAGCAGTATCATAATAATAAATAATTAATATGTATGTCGCAATTTGTATTAATTTTTTTGAAAGCGTTGCTTTTACACCAAAATCCAAAAGGGTCCTTCCAAGTTTCTATGGCTAAGTTGCTAGACTTTATTCCGAGGAGTTAGGACAATAATCCATAATAACGGTTTTATATCAAATATAAAGGAGAAAAATATAAAAATATGAAATATTCAGTTTAGCAGTATTATGCATATTAGTTACACTAGGACAAATTTTACAAGTATACAATTATGTTATATTAATCTATTTGTAAGTGCCAAAAAGGCTATATTACCTACAATTATTGATTATTATAATTTTCAAATCATCAAATCCATTACCATGTACTTTTAAACGTACCTACCTAGCGTTATATGATTATTGATTACCATGGGGAATTATCCATTTATCCTGTGCAACAGTGCAACTATATGGTTATAAGTTATAACTGCCAGCCAATATGGTTTAAAAGTTGAGCTGTAGTCAATTCTTGGTTTGATTGGTTGCAACTTGGTTATTACATGATAAAAGAAAACTAATGTTGAATCACAATGCAATTTGATTAACACTAACACAAGACACACAAAGTAGTTATAAATGTGCCTTAAATCGAAAAACAATATTACATACGAATAAACAGGGCTCAAAATTCCATGCATTTACATATTTTTTAGGAAGCTGCGTATTCAAAATCTGATTCAATATAAAGTGATGCTGATAAGCAGATTTTAAAAATAAAAACCGGTGATTATATTGGGCAAAACTCACTGTTTATATAATTTCCATGTAGAAATGATTGTGTTTTCTTAATAACATCAACATAAAATTAAATTATTATTCTTCATCAAAATGTCCTATTTCTTTAGATCAAACTTCATTTACATCAAAATGAATAAATAACGATTTTAACATTAGCGTCTTAAACAATAAATATTACACAAAATGATATAACAAGTACACAATTTTTGTTGGACGTACTTCATTTATGAAATTCAGGTACTGGAAGAAACAAAAATGAGTTTGGAGGGCAGCAACACATTTTATTATGAGCCAATAATCAATATCATTGTAACAAACGAAAATAAGGCGGATCAAATACATGTATGACAAAAAAAAAAACTAATAAATTCACAAAATGTTGATAAAACATTAAAATTATATATAAAAAAAAAAACTATAATTGTTTCAATAAAAATATTTAAATTTAAATCAAGTGAACATAGAAGTAACACAAAATTAATTCATGAACAATGAAGTCTGTATGCTAAATCTAAATGTATGTCTTAAGATTGTGCTAAACTTTGATAAAAAAAAATATGTGGTCAATAATAAATCACTAAGAAAAAAAAATTAAATAAAAAAAGGAGAAGTATATCTTAATATTCATGTACACATACAAAATATATGTACACATATTTTCATGGAATATGATGAGATAATATAATAGTAATTGAATTGGTATTTAGCTTTTATGAAATACACTAAAAAATAGTGATTGATCAAAATTAAAAAGCAACTATGTTCAAATTTTGTTTAACAGACCAAAAAGGTAAATAATTGTGTCTGGTAATGTTTAGACTTCTTATTTACATGATGTAACAGTGACTTATTAATTACAATATTACATTTAAAAATTTTTTTTCTTTTCAAAAAAAATTAATTATAATATTTTTAAAATAAGGGAAACCTATGCAAATACTAATATATTTAATAGTGTATCTTTAATAGTGTAACACTATGAACAGGTGGCAACATTTGATTCGTTAATGTTAAAAAAAAATCATAATAAAAAAATTCTACGCATTTGTTTTTAATCATACACAGTGTGTAAGAAGTCTGCCATTTATCACTCGACCAAAACCTTAGGTTTTTCCCAGGGAAATATGTCACGACCAAAATGTCCATATGTGCTTGTCTTTTGGTAGATTGGGTTTCGTAGATTTAAATCCCTGGAAAATGAAAACATTATATTTAATCATTTAAAATACTATTAATGATTTGAGAACCTATGAAATAATTTCTCTTGGTGAGATATTTTGAGATAGGAAACTAATTAGAATTACAAGAAATAGTTTTGTACCTGCACAATACATTTGTTCTTGATTAGTCACTTTTTCTCAAACTCATTATAGCTTAAGTTAGAAAATAATCACATGACTGCGTGAAAAACATTGTTGAACGAGTTTAAGTCTTTGCCTATAGTAGTGTGTTGTAGTGCAGTGTGTGCAGTTTGTATTTTTTAAAAGTGTTTTTAAAACACTTGATATTTTGATAGCAGGGAAAATATAAGCATATTAATTAAGATGGCAAAGTTTTATAATTTAAATTTGAACTTAATTTATCAGTTTAAATCTTAGATCATATACTATGGATGCACTCAATGCCCAATAACTTAAAGCACATAATATAAACAATCTGTCTCTGACACATGCTTGATGTGTACATGCATGAAGAAAAATGTTGAGTACCTATCTATGTAAATTGATATTTATATATTTAAATATAAACCAACACCTAATTATGCCATGGTTCTCTTCATGTGTGGGCACTTTAACCATCTCCGTCAGACATGTGGCTTATGTGTCCTTCAAATTGTTCACATGGCAAGATAGGTAGGTGCTTTTTCCATAGAATAAGACCTAAGGCTTAAATAATTAATCTTTTTTGAGCTTAGTAAACTATGAATACTAGAATAAGGATACCATGTACATCCTGAAATTGTCTCGAATAAGCTGCACAATTTAACTGTGGTTGCAATAGTTGCTACTTTAACTCTGGTAATATAGAAATTGTATAAATTGTAAAATTATGTATTCATACTTTTACACATATTTCACAAGCATTCTTTTATTAGTATGTTAATTTGACTGGAGATTATATGAGTATAACAATACATATCAGTGCACAACGGTCACACATATTGATACAAGATCAATTTGAACGTTCAAGGTGGGTTCAAACTTTTAATATGTACAATACATGTAGGTAAAATAAAGGGTAGTAAGTTAGATATAGTGATAACGGATCGTTTCTAATTTAATAATTTACACAATATTATAATACTGTATCATGTTTATGAAATAAATCATACATGCATATGTATAATTGTATGAATGCCTAACTTTACTAGCTAAACATATTATAATAGACCAGGTTTTAAAATAATGAATATTTTTTTTTTCAAAACATGAATAGTTCCAATAGTGCATGGTTTAAATTAGCAACCAGTGCGACCTCTGGCGGTTGTTAAACCATGTGAATCTTTGTTTTTTTCATATAATATAAAATGTATTGGAATTTGTGTAGTTGTGTATGCCTAACTACAACTGCTAGATGTTCTGAATGTGAATAAAACTATGGTTTCACAAAACTTTGGTTAAAAAATCAAATGATTTCTGTTTTTATGAATTAAGATTAAGTGTAGTAATTTTAAAATATTAAAATTATTATACTTGTTAAAATGATAAATAAAAATTATAATTAAGTATATTCAATTTGATAAAACTTTAGTAGTCTAGTTTTTGGCAGTATTTATGTTCAAAGTAAACATTTTAATGAAATACAGGTAATATTCGGGGGAGAGTTGAGGAGCTAAGCCCAACACAACCAAGTATATGCCTAATGTTCAATTAGCAAGTGTGCAATACAACAATTTTGAGATTTTAGGCACTAATTTGAGTTAATATTTTGTCAATGCATTTTTATTTTATTTTCTACCACATGCCTATTGTTGTATTACTTTGAACAGACTAAATTTACTAACCTGACTATTCTTCCTGGTCTTAAATCAAAATTATTGTTTACAATTTTCAACAATTCTTTTTGAGATTTAATAGATGTGCCATAGTGGAAAAGTGTAATTGATATTGGCTCTGCTACTCCAATAGCATAAGATACCTTATAACAATAAAAAAAAATAGCTCAGTATAAATTACAATATGTAACATGTTACCAATACATACTTGTACAAGACAACGTTTGCAAAGGCCAGATTTGACTAAAGACTTAGCAACCCAACGAGCAGCATATGCAGCGGATCTATCAACTTTAGTGAAGTCTTTGCCAGAGAATGCACCACCTCCATGAGCTCCCCATCCACCATAAGTATCAACAATAATTTTACGTCCTGTCAAGCCAGCATCACACTAAAAAAAAATCATAGATAACTTAGTGATTTTAGATCTTTAAAACTACTCTAAAAATTTTACTTGAGGACCGCCCATCACAAATTGGCCGCATGGATTGATGTGAAAAACAGTTCTCTCATCAAGATACTGAGAAGGGATCACGGTCTTAACAACTTTAGACATAACTTCTTGTCGTAAGTCTTCTAGGGAAATCTTTTCAGAATGTTGCACAGATATAACAACTGTATGAACTCTTTGTGGAATGCAAGCACCGCCCACCAAACAGTATTCACATGTTACCTATAGACATCAGTTTTCAATATTAATTAATTTATATCATTTATACACAAATTTACTTTTTTCTTAAAATGTATTATAGCACTTAAATATTGTAGCATACCTCTACTCAAAAATAATAAGTATTAAAATTATAGAAGTCTCGGATCAAACAAGTTTAATACAAATTTATCATCATAGTTTAATTAAAAATGATATACCTACATGAAATAATAGGAATATCAGGATTCTAAGACTTATAAAACTAAATTGATATCAAAAAACATTATTTTATTATTCACCTGTGTTTTAGTGTCAGGACGTGCCCACCAGAGTACTCCATTTCTTCGGAGTTCAGCGACTTTTTCATTAAGCTTGTGCGCAAGTACCACTGTTAAAGGCATACATTCTTCTGTTTCATCTGTAGCATAGCCAAACATGAGGCCCTGCAATCCATGAAAAACGTTATCAATTGACTTAGTAAATAATTTTGATAGAAAAGCTAATGCAAATTTGTAAAATGTTCAACAAAACTATAGAACTCAACAGGCGACACCAAATTAATGTTTGTTATAATAAAAAAAATTCTACACTGCTAAATTTTAAATATCTATCAAATCTTTCATCCCAAAAAATGTTATAATTTAAAACTGATTTATTTATTTAATACATTTTAAAATAGTGTTATATTATATATTATAGCAATTATTGGGTTTATCATATTGTTGTAATTGATACTTAACTACAGTATTACATACAATACACAAAGATAAAACAAAATGTTCCAAAATAAAATTAATAGAGTATATTAAGCATTTCTCTACTTAATTCATGTTTACAATTACCACTTGAAATGTTAATTAATAAGATTATTAACAATTAATTGAAAATAACATGATATTTAAAAATCATTAGATTTTTATAGTCAAGATGTTTTTTTGTATATTGTTACATACATATTAGTTCAATTCTTAATTAACCTAATGATGGATGTACACCAATGTAAGTTTATCAGTCAATTTTTTTTATTTCCTGTATATAACATAATATGGAATTACCAATCATAAACTACTTTTTGTCATTGAACTATAATATTTGATTAAATTATAAAATAAATATGGAAAAGTAAAAAATTTAATTAATTTTATAATAGTAACTTTAAAAAAAAGTTAGTAAGTTAGTAATAAGTATTGTATAGTCCTAATATAACAGACTAAACAAAATATTAGGAATTATACATTAGATTCAAAACACAGCATTCCAGCATGCATTTAAAATCAAGTGATATAAAACACAGCATTCTAGCATGCATGTAAAATCAAGTACCATGCAATAAAGACTAAAATTATGAAAAATTAAATAGCAGTAGAATATAAACGTGTAATTTTACCAAAACTGTTACACGTATTATTTTTAGCGTAATCGCATGTCAGTCAAATTTTGCAATGCATTTTATAATAATTTATTAAATTTATAATTTTTTTTTTATTCTTGCAAAAATCACTTTCCCACTAGTCTAACAAGTCAGCAAAAATCTTGAATATTGCCTAACACACATCTGATTTTTAACGTTATGTCTAGACATAATTTATTGCACCATCATCTTCAACAAAAATATAAACGCTACGTATTTTCGCTTGCCTCATTTATTTTAACACATACAAATATTTTTTTGTCAATTGGTCATATTACTCTAATATATATGCCTATTTCATATTGGGTAGTCAGTAAATAAAACACGACAAATAACTAATAAACTAATTAATATTTTTCTAAAACTCTTTAGTTGTTTTCTGTTTTGAAAAAACATACCTGATCACCAGCACCAACCTCCTCAGCAGTCCTGTTGATATGCACACCAGCAGCAATATTTGGAGATTGTTGATCAATAGCAAGCATCACCGAACATGTCTTGTAATCAAAACCTGGCAACCCGATAGCGGGACAACACACAACACATAGCAACAATCAGCAACTTAATTGCAGTTTTATTTTTATTAAACAAAACACTGTTTATTTAATATAATGGTACTAAATATACAAACTATAAAAAACCTAAACTCTTATTTAGAACAAGTATTAATAAATTTGCTTTACATCAATTACTAGTCTTTTCTAACTAAACAGTGACATATTTCATAAATTATAAGCTTATAATTTCTTGTATTGATTTTAATAGGAGGTAGCTACAGTATCCTAAACTCACTTAAAAATTTCTGTCCAGAAACAGTACATTTTTAATTAATTAAAAACAAACATAATAGATATATATCATTAAGTTTTCAATATCTGTTTATTTAAATCCAAAACTACCCACAAATACTCAAACAATCTTTCACATCTTGTTGACAATAAAATAAATTGACTATACAGAATAACCACACAGTTCAAAAATGTGTTCATGTATAGAAAAATGAGATACACTATTGTTCATTATACCTCCCACAAATTCATAGGTACAGTAAACTATTGAATTTCTTTGATCGATAGTTAAACAATCAACAATGAGCTTAACTAATGACATTTTTTTTTCATGCAATAAGCAGATAATGTTTATTTTATTTTTATATGGAACCCTGTTTCTTATTTTTACATGCAAGAATAAAAAACATTATTGTTAAAGGCAGTATACATATTAGTTATTAATTATTGATGCAACCCAATTGAATTTAAAACATTTTTCATTCATATCCACCAACAATAAAACATATTACTTTCATACTCTTATTATTTGGAAACACATATTGAAAGTAATATTTATTAACTTGAAACAATTATCGCATGTAATAAAAGCGCATATTAGACTATTTTAAAAGAAATTCAATGAAATTTAATTTAATTTACTTAATAAATCTGATATGTATATTATAACCAACTTTTTGATACATAAGCACTTAAAATACATTAAAAAATATATCACGAAAACCACTTACCTCACATATCAAAAAATGTAAAAAAAAGCAATGTAATGGATACTTTTAATATTCTCAATTATAATGTTGAATCGTAAAAATTCCAATGATATGATAAAATCCCAAAAATACAAAAGCTGATCTCGTAAAATATGACAATCACAACATTTTTGGCCACTCATTTAACCCCCAAAACCAATGTTTTGTAGATACCCTACCTGATCCCCAGCCCCAATTGCATCTTCAATTTTGTTAACGTGTACACCATCCGCAATATTAGATGACTGTTCATCAACTGAGACGAGAACATTGCATGTCTTGTAGTCAAACCCTGTTGGTGGTATATGTATATTTATATGACTTAGGATATAATTATGGGACTTAGACCTAACTGAATTTTGTTTTATGATGTAAATAGGATATTTGTATTTGTGGTATAGGATAAGCAGCCACCTTACCTTAATTATAAATATGAACAAGTAAAGCTCATAAAAAATGAATGAAAATATTATCATTTTAAAATCATAAAGCAAGTATACATAATTTATAGTAAGAGCAGGCAATAAAAAAATAAATTTAGGAATATCAAGATGAAACTTAGGTATTATATTAACAGTGTTAAATACTTTTAACACAGTCTTTTCTAAATAATAAACCCGGCTTAATGTACATTTTCTTTTAAATGAATACTACAAAGCTGTATTTAGGTATTATCTAATATACACAATAATTTCAAGTGATAGCAAAACCATATGTAATCTTAGTAAAGCATAAACAACCAAAATAAAAATTTAATTTTATGAAATAGAATGTAGTATTTTTCTAAAGACAGTTCAAATAGTGCAAAATATTAATTTTGTTACTTAAAAATCAATATTACTTGCAAATGGATAATATTTAATAATATTAAATAGGATGGAAGTTATGAGATACCCTTTACTACACGTATCATTTTTAAGTTAATGTGGCATTTTAAATGTTATCAATAAATAAATAATTGAATATGATTTGAGGATTTAAAGTTCTTTAGCCATAATTAAATACTATTTTTACTACAAGTTAAATTTGCTCATAAATATTAATCATACAATTTTAATTAACAACCTATTCAAATAATAAGAATACTTGCCGGATTACTTATCTACATTGAAGTTTTCATACATTTATTATCTAATTGTATAATTTAATTCAAACTTGTTTAGTAATCGTACGATTTGTAATCCTGCCCTATTGACTTTGTAATTGATTAGTCACATTTAATGATAAATAATACCATCTAATTTGGCACCTATCGGTCCCATTAAAAATGTACTTGTTATAAATAATTTCAGAAAAAAATTAATTCCCGGATGGTTGTTACTAAAAAATTTACCTAGGATATTAGTATATTATAACAAATAATTACCTTTTGATGAATCATCGTAGCCTATATGTTTAATTGTGTCTCGAACTACTCTTTGATAATCAACATTGGCTTTGGATGTTATTTCTCCACAAAGTAAAACCATTCCAGTTTTGGTAACAGTTTCTAAAACAAATTTTATTTTAATTTTTAATTTTTTTTTTTTTTGAATATATACAATCTGTAATAATAGTTACAATGAGCATATGAGCGTTAATATAAGTTTGCTGTGAATGTGTGAGGGTAGCAGCTACCCAGCAGTAACATAGACTTATTTTAATTTAATCATAAAATAAATCAAATTATAATGAATTCTTGTATGGATATAAAAAAAATGGGTTAAAAATAGAAATTATATTTTTACTATTACATATTTCTTAATTAATATAAGTTCTTCATTTTATACATAAGGTTCTATTAGGTACCATTATAATTGACTAGGTAGTATCTAGGTGCATAGCCAGGGGGAGGTATTATGGGTAATAAATTACCCTCCCTCCCCCCAATTGGCTGTATAATCCAAAAATATATTAAGATGTTGTGTGAACAACCATCCCTTCAAATTGTATTTAAATATTAAATTTTAAAAACTACCCTTTAAAAAGTATTAAATAACAGAATATTTTCTAAGCATGCATAATTTGCTATAAATAGATGATATGAAATTGTGCACCAAAAGAATATTTATTTTTTATTGGATTTTACCAAACAATATAAAATTATAAACATCCAATTGTCAGTATTTAAATAAATTTTCAGTTTAAGGAATACATTTTTTTGGTGGGAATTTGAAAAATTAGTATTTTATAGGTTATGGCATAACTATAAATATTCCATATCAAATATAACCTTAAAAAAATTACGGTAATGATAAAAAGTTGTAGGTCTAATATATATTTTAATGTAAATATTGATACAAAACATTAATGCGGTAAAAACATGATAAAAAATTAAAATAATAATAAAACTCACCACAAGCCACTTTTGCGTCGGGATCTTGTTCCAGATGTGCATCCAAAATAGCATCACTAATCTGATCGCACATTTTATCTAGAAGAAAAAAATCACAGTACCAATATATTAACATACATTTTTCGTTCGACAAGAGACGTCTTTCAGAATAGGAAATTAAAGATATTAGGAATTTCGTTTTTTACTTCGTACGGTATCATTGGGGTTGCCTCTTATCACCGGGAGTTTTATCTGAGAAATATGAATAATCGATGCAGGCCGATCGTCGATAATTAACATACATGAAATATGCGCCGAATATAAACAGCAGACGGTTGAGGAAACATTATACCGTAAACCAGAAAAATTCAAATTGGCTATCGGAAACGACGCAATACCGTAAAGCGATTAACGATGATAGTACGCCTCGGACCTCTAACAAAAACACGTGTTCGGCGAATGTATGCAAAAAAGTTTAAAATGGGGAAAAAACACAGATAAAAACCACACTAACGCAGCCGAATGAGCAGGTGTGTATGTGATCAATGATCATAGGGTTAGGTCTATTATATCGATCGTCTTACCGGGGTGTCCTTCTCCGACGGATTCGGAAGTGAACAGGAACATCTCACCGTCCGGGCTCTCTGGCGGAAGTCCACCGTTTCCGTGTCCGTTGGCGAATCCATTGGTGTGCGCGTATTTCTTTTCTTCGGGCATGGCGACTTTGGCTGAGGTGGTATGAGTTGTTGCAGTGCTGCGCTACTGGAACTGTCGGGCGTTTGCTTTGGCCACTGCGACGTTTTCCGTTACCAAGAGTTCGACGTCTGCTGGAACGCAAAAAAAAAAATCGGAACGTTAATATCGTTGCAATTGTCGGCGAGTCATTAACTACTGGACACGATGATAAAATGATTAATATTAAAATAAGGAAGGAAAAACAACAATAATAATGAATTATAATAACTGTTAATAAGAGTAAATAACTACGGACGGCAGCGGTTCGTGTTTAAAGTGGTTCTGCTGCTTCTGTTGCTGCTAATATCGCTAAAGCGGCACAGCCCTGTAAGCTTCAATCGGCTTGTACGGCTGCCAAGTGCGGAAAGAACGATTCGTCCAGAGATGGCCGATACGGAACGGCACAAAACGCGCCGGAACAGTGTTGCCAACGGGAGCGCGTCACCGTGCCGATTACCGGCCGAACGGAACGCCTACCCACCCCACCGAGCCATCCATAGCAATAGCAATACAGCAAGACTGAAGACAACCGCCGCGTGACCAACAGAAGTGGCGGCGGCGCACACGTGTGGACGGCGACGACCGATTGGCGATTACAAAAAAATTGAAAATAACAATAAACACAATGCGTTCGTCTCATACTTTGATACTTTATATATACTATATACACACCTATACACTTTTATTGTTATATTATAGACTATAGTGTGAATATATTTAAATGTATAATATGTATAATTCATAAATTATTATGTAGATCGTTATCATTTATCGTCATAATACGTGGATTTCTACTATTCCATTGTATTCCCAGGGATACGGATCGGCGGCGGCCGGATGCGTATTTTTACACGCGCACGCGTTTGTACGTTTCCGGGTTTATTTTTGTGTACATATTCGAGACGGCTCCGCCGCCGCCTCTATTATTATAACGACAATAAAATAATAATAATAATTACAAACGTAAATTGTTTTATCTCCAATATTGTCGAAGGACCGCGTTGGTATTATATTACCCGGCGATCACTATTATATTACTATAATGAAATATAATATTATTATCGTGCCGCAGACGTAATTCTACGTCAGGTTTATTTTTATCGCTGCTCCGACAGGTGGTGGCCGATTGATAAAATATGAAAGACGCACGAGTATGCGATATTGATATCGATTTCCGAGACGCGAAAACTTGTTCGGGACCATAGATAATAAAGATCTTTATTATCTATGCTCGGGACAAGTTTAAGTTTTTAAAACTGTGTACCACGATAATTTATACAGCCACGGTAATCTTTTACAATCATGAAAAATAAAATATGGAATATTATGGAAGACGTATATGGTATATCTACATATTACATGCATAAATTCGGTTTTTTACTGCGGAAAAGCCGTGCTGTAAGTATTAATTTAAACTCAATTTTTTTTTTACCAAATTTCATCCATTGGAATTGTTAACAGTCTTATACCTACTCTTATATGGCCTTGACTAGATGTCTATAATATATACTAGGGTATTTTATTACTTTACTTTACTTTTAAAATTTTTTTTTTAAACCTAATTAATTGTAGTTGGTTAACCTGAAAACGATGGTGAAGTCAGAATTTGGCGGTCGGACTTCGAAGGTAGATTAGGTTTCGGTAGGTTTCTAACCCTTCGATAGGTTTCGATGTTATGGTGGATGGAAGTTTGACGAAAACGGTATTGGTGCCTAGCGATTGGCGTAGCTAATAGCTCAATAAATTATAATATTCGCTCTTACCTTTGCCATCGATCAATAATTACTGCAGTAGTATAGGTTTTGAACATATTACATAGTAAAGATCATTGGTCAGATTGTCATAACTCATAAGTCATAATATTTATTATTTATAATTTGTTCAATCGAAATATATAATATTATAATCTGAACGACTCACGATTAAATTTAACAGACATAAGCTGTTCATCTTTACCAGTGGTTTTCAACCTTTTTTCGATCGCGACCCCCATTTTTTATTTTTTTGTACTGCGACCCACTTCAAAAAAAAATGTTGTTTTATTCATCATATTTTTAAATAAAATGGAAAAATCATTTCATCTATTATTTTTGGCGACCCCCAAACCAATCATTCGCGACCCCCAGGTTGAAAAGCACTGATCTATACCACCACGGTCCACGGTACTCTGTTTATCTCATTTCACTTATTACATTGCAAAAAAGTCTGATTGCACCATCGTTCTTAACCTGCTGAAGTAAATGAGTTTTTAAAAAACACATCAATATTAGTTATAGGTGGAGTAAACCAGAGACCAGATGCGTGGATGCAAAATAGCAAACTTCATTAGGCCGCATATAACTTCGAAATTAAGTCCGACCGCCAAATTCTGCCTTCACTATCGTTTTCAGTTTTTATAACTAATTATGTATACTCAATTTACATATTATAAAATCATTTTTAGTTTACAAGATTATGCACAATGTAATCAGTCGTTGTGCAACACTCATGTATCAATGTATCATGGAGTATTGTTTTTGTATTGTGTTTGGTTCAAGGATTTTCTCAACTAATAGGGGCTGGATTTGATGGACCTAATAGAACTAAAAAACGACAAAAAAAGAACCGCTCAAATGATTTAGAATTTTGGAAGAGGTCACTTTTTATTCCGTACTTGGATTTTTTCATATCCTCGTTATAGCACGCAGACTTTAAGATGAAAAGATCCAAAGCGACTTGTATACTGATTTAAAATACAAAATTTGTACCTAATGTATCATGTTTTTATATTTTTTATTTACTTCGAAAGTTGTAATTAAAGATCATGAAATAGATAAACAGTTTGACATGTGCAGAAATTTAAAAATACACTTAAAAAATAACACTAAACATGTTTTGATAATTGCCTACCCCCCCCCCNCCCCCCCCCCCCCCCCCTGATGAAATTTCTAGGTATGCCTTTGGGAACTTGTACTCGTATAGTTGTATCTGTCATTTGCACAAGTGCGTGGACTGTAGTACTACTACGATAATATTATTGTAGCTATATGGTTAGATACACAGCCTGCAGCTGACAACTGTAACTTATAGGCTGCAGTCGGCGTAATCGACAGTTGTTACTATTTATAGTTAAAAACAAAATTTATTTTTACTTTTTTGTGGTTAGTGTTGACTCATTATTATTTATTCCTATGTGAAAACTGAAAAGCCATTTGCGAACTTGATATTCTTTACAGTTTACTTTATTATTTTATAACTGCAGTGGCGTCATTTGGGGGGATGCAAAGTGGGCAATCTGATTTTAAAAGCAGACCGTCGGGTCGGTGATCAGTTTTTTTTGTTTAACCATTATTATATTTTATTAGCTTAAAAACATGACTATTTTTCTAATACTTGAAAAAATTATTATTTTGTGTAATGTACTATAAGAAATTATTGTCACACAATGTCAAGCGATCAAAGCAAGAAGAAAAAATTTTGAGTCGAAAAATTGATAGGTCTACGCATGAATTGCTGTTAGGGCGGCCCTAACGGGGATTGTATTATATGACGTATATCTAAATGTATAATAAATTAATAGCTAATATTATTATCTATGGACTATGGTTTTCGTGTAGACTTTTTTAAATAAAAAAAAGATATACCTATATTATGCGTATGAATGTAAATATTGGTATAGCCGTATAGGTTTTATCTGTTCGGAATGTATAGCAATAATGCAATATAGTCTTATTTCGTGGAAGCTGTTTAAATTAATGACTCTAACGAAGTATAATGTATTCGTAGGCCACAATTATTTAATTTAGGTACATTTTCAGATTTAAAACTATATAATAATATAATAATTGTAATTTGAGTTTTTTATTAGAAAATAATTATATTATAATATGTAAGTATCTAAATGGTTATATACTTATATATTTACTGTACCTATATACGATTTATAAATTTAAAAAATAATCACCCAACAATTTAATTACTCTAATTGTCTATTAAAATGTGTTCGTAATATAGACGTTAGTTGTTACTAAATAAATCAGAATAAACACAAATTATTATCACATACCGGCAATGAGCCGGGTAGAACGGACCTCTTTCACCAATTACCTTAATTATACACCGAATATAACACGTGGATTTGAGCATTACGGCTGCCGTAATACGGCAATATCCTTACACATTTCTATAACATTTACGTATACTATACAACACTTGATCTAAAATCGACACGGGTCACCATATCTTCGTGGATATAGTTGACCCGGAAACCCTCCTCATTTCACTACGTCATGGTCAAAGTGGCCACTTAATAATACCCACGTACTTTATATGAATATATATATAATGCTGTTTATTTTAATTATTATAACAATTAAGATTTGTATAAAAATATAGGGTGTATCCAGTGCTCGACTTGGAAAAATTAAAGTAGGGGGACTCTGTTTACATTTTTTTTTTAAAGAGTCCCCGTGACTTGTTAAACGTTATAAGGCAGTGGGGGGGGGCTATGCCCCCATACCTCCTAATACCACTATTTAAGTCATATCAAAAATATGTATAAATAATCAATTTAAAAAAAATACAAATACATATTAGGTAATATAATAGGTATTTAGTAACTACTGTATATATTATATTAAAGTTACAAATAATATCAAACTCAAAATGATAATAAAATTAAATAAATGAATAGCTTAGTAATAATTAGTTAATATTAGCCACCTTATAGATCTGTGGTTATGAAATAATATATGAGACAAATTATGATGGTATCTCACTCTTTTTGATAAAAATGTAGAATAATATAGCGTCCTATGAGTTCCCTTTAAAAATAATAGTAGGGATACTCTAAAATTTCTGAAAAATTAGTTGGGGTAATCTGCCCCCCTGCGTCCACTCCCAAGCGAGCACTGGGTGTATCTTCTGTCATTATGTCGTGAAGCGTGCAGGATTTAAGTGACAATGGATCAACTGTAATGTGAAAAATGAAAAAAGACAATTGAGTATGGGATATTTTTATTACGTTTTTAAGCATTAGGTAAACATTATACAAACAGAAAAATAAACTAAAATTTATGAAATAGTATCAAATATTTTTTAAATGGATTCCAATAAAACATAATGAAACTTTTTATGTATGCTTCATATAAATATAGATTTGAAGTTTTAGTTAATATTATTGTTAAACAAATTATTTAGCTCTAGTTATAGTTATTTAAATTATAACTAGGTATACCTACGTATATAGGAACTATATTAGCTACGAATTTACTAAACTCATTTAACCCTCCCTCCCCTCAATTGAATTTTTTTCCCTAATAAATGTATTATTATTTATTTATATACGAAAACTGAAAAACACTTACTTTATTTGATACTCACCCCCCCCCCCCTCCGCAATAATTTCATAATAGTGGTTACGTTATTAACTAAACTTAATATAGAGAGGTTAATTAATTAATAATTAGTAATACATTAAGTAGATAACGAACTAAATTGTTGGTCCTATGATGTTGTAAAAAGGTTGATTTTCAAAAAAAAAACACTTAAGCTACAGAATTTATTAAAAAATAAAGTTGATTTTGTTATTAGTACAATGGTACAAAACCACGTGCTTAAACATTTTAAAATTGCCGTCAAAAAATTACATGTTAAAAATAAATAACTAATTATTTTTATTTTTTTGAAATTTATATTATTGATAAATAATCACAAAAAACACGCTTATACATTATACAATGACATAATTGTCACATGCTGTAAACAAATAATTTTGAAAAATTGGTTGCTGCGGTAGGTCTCATAGTATGTATTATTTATTTTTATTTTTATTATTATTCGCATTTTACTATTAAAACATGGCGTTAACAATAATTTACATATACAAAAAATATAATGAATGTGTTTTCTACGAAACCCGTATTGGCGTGTTTAGTCTAAATCAATTTTTTGAGAATCATCAGTATACTCATATTATATTATATTGAATTTAAACTCTACACAAAAAACGTATAAACTAACGGTTATTGACACTGAATTATCGTACAGTTATTATTGTGATGATTTTTTAAATTTTTTTTAGTTTTTGTACTCATATAATAAAATCGACTCTTCATCAATTCAACAACTATAACGGAGTATGTACATTGTACATACTTACTATTTATGGTGTGATTTGTAGCGCAACGGGAACCAATATATTGATTATGATATGTTGGCAAGTCAATATACAACTGTGTATTAATTAAGTATGTATTATGTATAGGTACATTAAAATATAAAAATATATGTATAGGTACTTATATGCAGCAAACTGTCATTGCCTATACACACGGCATACATAATATTATATATTTATATACCTTCGTGACTTCGTCTGTACGGTAGAAAGTCGTTTATAAAATTCAATAAAAAACTTCTAAATTAACAATTAAATTTTTTAATTAACTGGAGGACAACCTCCTTCAGCTGGGGTATAGATAATGGTATATGCATTATATGTGTGAAGAAGATGTAATAAGTAAAGTATAAAGGCGATTTTTAAGATCAATCTATATACAATTTGTTTTCTATTAAATGAATATACTACATACTTTCATATGAAATTGTGTAAAAATTGGAATTTTGAAATGGATATACGCATAATAATGTAACATATATGACTGTTTTATTCCAACATTTAACATATCCGTTAAGTCAATATGGTACTCTTGAAAATGCCCGATTCGGCTCGTACCTACTTGTTTGAATGAGGTCTACATCAAGTAGAAATTGGAGATGCTATAGAGTTTAGGTGAAATGGCTACGATAAGAGCCATATAATATAAGCAGTGCTCATTTTTTAAATTCTACCGATTCACGCATATATGATGAATAGTCGATTTTAGGGTCAAATTTTATACATGTAAATTCAGTCGGTTATTTATTTTTACCTTGCGAAAATCAATATTAACTTCACTGATATTAAATGAATGTATATAGATTCTACTGATATTAATAATAATAAAAAGTATTAGATACAATTGCAAAATTTCTAAAACTATTTAAAAAATATTGATATTACAATAAATATTAATTAATTAAAACTACAAATTTGCCAACTATGATTAATGATTATAAATTATAATAGTTAGGGAAAATTTAGTATTACTGACTTCTGTACTATATAAGCATTATCAGAACTGAACTTACATTTTATATTTTACAAATGTATAATATATTAGGTATCTACTATCATAATCTACATGATAATGATCAAAAATCAAACATTTAAGTAATAAAAAATCCTGTGACATTGAACGCGTTGCGTAATTCGTTTAGGCCTTCAATACGAAGGATAATGTGTGTTTTATTATAATCAATTTTAGTTATAACTTAAAATTGAAGAATTCAATTTAAAAAATAGTAATAAGATTGGTCAACATGTAAGATATTGGAGGAGTTTAAGTTTATTTTATCTGGTCAAAAAATAGAACTAGCGGAATGTTACAATCACCCGCTAGGTTAGTTCTCCTAAAAAAATTTAGCTCCCTCCCCTTAATTCTATTTTTTTTTTAATACAAAGTACACATTTTATTCATATAAATGAAAATTGTTGGAGATTATGAAAAAATAGAGCTTATAAAACCATTAAGCCCATCAAAACAGGTTTATCATCAAGCTCTGCTTAAGCAGGTAGGTATATAGCTACTACATACGTGCTATACACGTGAACAGATTATTATTACAGGGTGTTTCAGATTTCATGTTTCGAGAAGAGTGGGTCATATGAAAGTG